TTCGACTAGTCGCGACTTGATCATGCTGACGCACAGCTCGACGCTCAACTTACCTATCTGGATGCATGAACAATGAGCCACGCGGAAATGCGGCATCACAGGAATTTCGACCCAATTCTAGCTCGTAACCCTGCCTGGTATATCATTGTCCTTTTGCTCGGGGGGAGCCTCGGACTTCGGATTTATGGGCTTCTCATACCTTGCTCTACTGGAATTTTGCCATTAATCTAGCAGAGTTGCAGCACGAACGAGTTCTCTTTCTCTCTCTGAAAAGGGGACCAACTACTACCACACTGCGACAATGACTGCCCCAGCGTACCTAGGCGCAGCACTGTGCTATGACGAAGCACATGTGGGTCTTTACCAAAGGGCCTGCCTAGGCGTGAATGAGATTGAGAACGCTTGGCAGATATATGAAAGGGAGTTCGATTGCACGGGAATATTAATGTACAACTTCTACCTTGCTCTCGTGGATGGCGGCGAGACCGACAAATGTGTCTGCAAGTTTGAGAATACAGGCGCAGAGTGGGCGTTCTCAACCCATTGGGGACCGTGCAACGGGGCTTGTGTGGGTACCTATACCTGCGACGGAAACACACCAGTTCTTGTCAGCGACAGCAACACCGAAGTCGGCAAACGCGCTACTCCCTCCAATGGAACCAATCCTACTCCGACCTCTCTTGCCGTACCGCTCATCATCAGTTGGAAGGCAATGCTGTGCGTCACAACGATAATGCTGTTCAATGGGATCGCATGAATGCCGGAGACGAGCAAGGAAGTGCAGTCTCACTCAAGATTAGCAATGATGGCAAAGTCTGCGAGGGCGAACTCTGGCCGAGGGACAAGTTAATGCCTTTCAAAGTTGAGAAGGAGAGTATCCTCCCTGCATGTGTGTGTATCTCGAAGCCATGTACGCTTTCTCCCAATCTTTGGTGGATGAAATGTTGGACAATTCGGTCTTATGAGCAGTTGGACATTGATTTTGGAATAATGCGGCTCCTCATCTTATGTGCCTTTCATACTTATCAGTATCGCGGAGAAAGCTTGCAGCTACATACATGCTTGCTCACACCAGGTAATGGACATTCAATACGAGCGGGAGTTAGCCCTAAGCCTTCCTAAGATCTTGCTTGCTTACCCATTCTAGTCACAGCTTAGCCTTTTATGAAGCTTCAAACTTGCTTAGGTACGAATGTTTAAAGCGGCAGGAGTGACTGGCCCGTGTTGGAGATGGCCCATCTTTGCCTGCCCCATCTCACATCTCGCAGTCGCCTGTTTTTCCCAAGTCACTTTCCTCTCCCTACACATGCGACGATTTACAACGGCCTGCCGCTTGAAGCATTTTCTTTCCTCATCTTTTGCTTTTGGCAGTCAACAATACTGAAAGATAAAACCGCCTGACGGGACATTCGTTGAAGCACCCGCATGTCGAACTCTCGCAACGACTCCATCGGAACTCCGCCCCGCGCCTTGAAACAAAAGCCGCACATTCCCATTCACCAAGCGACTTGGCGGGTCCCTCCCCAATTTCAAGCCCACGCCGCCACGACGGTCCTCGTGTTCAGTCTTGATAACAACTTCGTCCTTTTTCGTCAAGTGACATCATGTCCAATCGTCGAGTTAAGTCTCTGGCGCTTGATGAAGACGATTACGATGATTACGAGGACTATGATGACGACTATGGAGATGATGGTGGTGACAACGAACTTTCTGCAGAAGACAAGGAGCTATTGCGGCAAGGAACCATCAAAGTCCGCGCAGCTTTAGGACCGGCATTTCCTGCTACAGAAAATGAGATCCAAGAGGCGCTTTGGCATTATTACTATGACATTGGGAAATCCGTCACCTATCTGAAAAGTATGGAAATTCTGCATTCTCTTTGATCTTGTTTGGACACTCACCGCGTTAGACAAACAGAAGCCTGCTCCCATTGCCACAAAGAAGGAGGCACATGGCTCAAAGAGTAAGCTTGTTCTTGTAGATTCCTCATCTGCATCGTCTTCGCGTCGTGGTGGTCATGATAGCTCGGGACCGAGCCGGTTCAAAAACGGTGCTGATGAGCATCAAGATCCCACCACCTCCGCCCCTTGCTCGAGCCCCTTTTCTCCCGCGGACTTCTTCAAGGATAGCCCGTGGCTGCGGATTCCTGAACACCGAAAATCAGAGATCATCATCACACCACTGTATCCCCGTTTGCGTCTTTTGGGTGGTGCTTCAAACACCGGCAAAGTGTCCAAACTAGCTGTTCTTGCTGCTAAGCGAAGGCAGAAAGAAAGTGAGAAATCGGATGCTCAAACTACAGCCAACGATGGATCTCAGCAGGATTACCTGTCTAGCTTGAACAAACTCCGGATTAGCCAGCCATCGAGAGCAAAGTCTGGACCAGCTGCTGCGTCAGACTCTCTGGCAGCAGAGCCACGGTCCCAGTCACAAGAGCGCAATCACAGTAGTGACCTGAACATGCAAATTGAAAGCAAGCAGATAGCGGCTGAAAGGGCGTCGGACGGCTCACTTGTGGTTGATCAGCTTCTTCGGGGGCATCCCTCCCCGTTTGCCAGCATCATGACTAGCCGCGACGCTGACACTTGTCTCCTATCATCAACCGACTTCTTCTCAATTAGAGCAAATGCTAAATCTTTCAACTTTACAGAGCCTAGCCCAGACGATATTGTGACCAAGGCACAGAATGCAAAAGGTCGGGGACAAGGTTGATTGATATGGAAATGAGCTAACCCAGTCGTCATGTAGCCGCGGGATCGGCCACAGCCAAAGCGAGGGATACAACCCGGGCAAAATCAAGTTTGACCGGTGGCATCCACGACCTGTCCATCCAGGAGGCTCCTAAAATCAAGAGCAAAATCATTGACGTGCTCGCAGAGTACAAGAAAATGAAACGAAAGAATGCGGCAAACTTTGTAGTCATCGGTGGGCTGTCCCCATTCGGCGGATTCCAAGATTGCACTAATTCCCACAGGCCATGTCGATGCAGGCAAGAGCACCCTTATGGGTAGGCTGCTTTTTGACTTGAAAGCTGTCGATCAAAGAACTCTGGACAAATACCGACAAGAAGCGGAACGTATCGGCAAAGGTTCATTTGCATTCGCGTGGGTGTTAGATCAAGGCTCGGAAGAAAGGGCCAGAGGCGTAACTATCGACATAGCCACCAACAAGTTCGAGACAGACAAGACGAGCTTCACCATCCTGGATGCCCCTGGCCATCGGGACTTTGTGCCGAATATGATTGCAGGAGCCAGTCAGGCGGATTTCGCAGTCCTTGTCATCGACGCTTCAACGGGAAACTTCGAATCTGGCTTGAAAGGACAGACGAAAGAACATGCTCTCCTGGTGAGGTCCATTGGCGTCCAGAGAATAATAGTGGCTGTGAACAAGATGGATGTTGCGGAATGGTCCCAAGAGCGCTTCAATGAAATTCGTCAACAGATGGCCGCGTTCCTGAGCAGTGCGGGTTTCCAGTCAAAGAACGTGACATTTGTTCCTTGTTCTGGCCTTGGAGGTCAGAACATTCTGACCAGAGCCTCGGATCCAAGGTCGTCCTGGTATACCGGCCCGACATTGGTTGAGGAGCTAGACAAGGCGGAACCATCAACGCACGCGCTGGATAAACCTTTGCGAATGAATATCAACGACGTTTTCCGAGGTGGTGTGCAGAATCCCCTGTCTGTATCGGGGCGATTGGATGCGGGCACCATTCAGGTCGGCGAGCAAGTGGTCATCATGCCTAGTGGCGAAGAGGCGCAAATTCGGAGCTTGCAGGTCGATGAGGAATCCCAAGACTGGGCAGTGGCGGGACAAAATGTGGTCCTCAATTTGACCGACATCGACCCCATTCACCTGAAGTCAGGAGATGTGCTCTGCAGCCCCCTATCGCCGATTCAGAACATCGCCGAATTCAAAGCGAAGATACTTGCATTCGATCACCTAACACCCATGAACGTCGACGTGCACAAAGGGCGTTTGCATGTGCCGGGTCGAATCAGTCAGCTCGTTGGCGTTCTAGACAAATCATCAGGCACAGTAGTGAAGAAGAAGCCTAAAATTGTCCAACCAGGAAGTGTTGTGCGAGTCATTGTCCAGCTAGACCAAGCTGTGCCCTTGGAGCCGCCTTCAAGGATTGTGCTCAGAGCGAATGGAGAAACTGTCGGAGCTGGCCTAATCGAGTAGGCCTTCTCGATGATTCACCCGTGCAAACCGCCTGCCAAGACTTCCCCGGGATACGACGTCGCCATTGCGTGAAATCAACTGCGACTCCTGAGGATCTCATTCAAAACGGAGGATCAGGCCAAGCATCTTTGGTCCGCAAGGTCTAAAGAAGAGAGAAATCCGTCACCCGGAGTCGACATGCTCGTCCATTCCTGTTCTGTCACGGTTGGGGCCGAAATCGGTGGCGCCTGGGACAATATCCCGAAACTGCCGGTCTAGCGCAAATCTGAAACGGAATAATGAGATTCACGGGGGGGGTCGACATCCTTGGCCCCGCTCCCTTCAGCCTCGTCATTCGCTTGGGAACACTCGCATGGGTGAAGCAAAGGCTGAACGAGACTTGCCAGTTCATTCACGTGTGCTCCGTACTCCGTAGGCACTGGGGTTCTGGCTGCCTGAGACATCGGCGTGCTTGTGCGCAGCTTATTATTCCATCCTTCATTTCCCCTTGCCACATCTATCCCGATGAACCATGTCTATCTCAGGGGAATGGAGGACTGTACCTCGTTCAGTATAAAATGGACCTTCCCGCTGTCTTTGCACGGGTATTCTGTTTTCTACAAGCATTTCTTTATTCTTGTTACAGGCACTCGAAGAGTCCTTTCGTTCTCTCAGCTGCGCAGTGCGCACGTCCATTCGTTTCAGATCTATTCAGTCATTCGTTCCTCCAGGCTTCGAATCTGCGTTTCGATAGCCGAAGCCGTTGAGATCTGCTTCTGCTACAGATACTGTCTCAAATCATTCGTCCAACTTTCCGAACCCGAACAACTTTCAACGGCATGGCTGCAGCATTAATCCTTGCAGGCTTGAGCCTGGCTGGAGTGGCCCAAGCCCATATTGCCGCTTTTGCCAAGGGAATGTACTGCGAGAACGGTACTGACCCTTCCAACCCGAATTTCAACTCCAATGCTCCTGTGGCACCATTGTACAACCTTACCCAGGACCAATGGTGGTTCCAACACGATCGAGGTTGTGATTCTGTCCCGCCACCTCCTGGCGTCTTTCTCGAATTACCCGCCGGTGGCTCTTTCGACGTCGACCTTGCGAATAACCAAGCATTTTCAAACCTATCCTACGGGGGCTCAAAAGTTTCTGAGTGGCCGGATGGCGGCACTCACCCAGAGGATTGGAACGGTGGAGGTGTTGGCGAGGGCTGCATCCAAGACAGTGGTTACATGCACGTGCAGAACCAGAGCATGGCTCAAGGGACTGCCTTTGCTATTGCATATGAAAGCGACCTTGGTGCCATCTCGTTGGAGGACTTGGTTGTGTTTACAGTGTTAGAACACACACCCTGGAAACGGGCGGCAACCTACCAGGTCCCAGCGGCAATGCCCGCCTGCCCCGAAGGTGGATGCGTAAGTCCTCCTTATCTTTGCGAGACCTCTTCGAATCTCGAAGCTTCTTTGTCCATGAGACTCCATCGGCATGGCGCCATAGGCTAACAATGTTTCCAGACTTGTGCCTGGCTCTGGGTGCCAAGGGGATGTGGTCAGCCCAATATCTACATGCAAGGCTTCAAATGCATGGTAACAGGTGCCACGTCCACAGCTCCCCTGGGAAAAGCTCAAGCACCCGTGATGTGCGACACAGACCCTTCCAAATGCGTCAAAGGGGCAAAGCAAATGATTGTGTGGAACCAGTTGACTGGAAACAACGTCGTGACAACTGGCTCACAAACGCCAGCATACAACGCACGCAACGGGTTTACGCCAGGTCCGCAGGATGACATCTTTGAAGGCGCTCCGTCTACACCGGAGGGACCAGCATCTTCCTCTACGACTTCGTCCCATTCGGTCTTCATCTCCGCCACTGCACCTGCAGAAACCCATGTGCAATCCTGGACGACCAGCGCTGCCGGCACCTCAAGCTCTGGAGCAATTTCTATAACCCCTCCTACTACAAGCTCCTCTGTTTCACCATCGTGGACGACTCTGGCGACGGTCGTGAAGCCAGCCTCAACAAGTAGCACTGGTTCCGTTCCAGTTGCGCCACATTCTTCCAGCAGCGCAAGCGGGGGTAGTTCTTCTCCTGGATCTCCTGAAACGGTGACAGTCAGTGTGACGGTCACGGTTTCTGCCGCTGGCCCAACACAGACGGGTTTAAAGCATTTCAAGGAATGCTGGGTTGAAATCGACGAGGAATTGGATGACTGAGCATGACTGCCTTTGTCTCAGCTCCTACATCTAGGAGAAACGAAAGGGTGATACTCAGCTAGCAGCACTAGAACTTTGACTTTTCCATTAATGTTGACATTTTTTTCCTGCTCGAGGGAGGGGAAAACAACTTTTCATCATCCCAGAGTCTACAACAAATCCTCGCATCAGAATTTTCCTGGAAGGAATGGGTTGACACAATTTGCTTGGATGGCTTAGTATCGACCCTGTGGCTTACTGCTTGTGCGATGTGGTGTACGGCTACTACACTGTCGTAAGCGCTGCCTGAGCTGTCAAACCGGCCAGGCTCTCCTTTCGACTCTCCCAACAATTGGGCTTTGTTTTTTGATTCTCCGTCCAAGTCCTGCTTTTTAGGAACCTCAACGGGTCTCGAGGCATGTCCCATCTAAAAGCTCTATTTTAAAGCGGCGTCAGTTCTACTACAATTTGGATGAGATAACCATAACAGATTCTTCTTGACATTGACCTTGGTGTCTGTCAACGGTGGTTTACAGCTCACAAGCCATCCATATGAACCTTTGTGCACAGGTTGATGACAATGGGGCCATCAGGGTTTCGCCGTGCTCGAGACACCAGCAAGACCACAACAAATGATCGAGAGTGAGGTAGGGCAGCCTCTCGCCTCCAGTGGCCAACATTCCATTCCATTTCCTAGCGGTCTGTGCGCATCACAACGCGGCTCTAGGGATGATAGGAATGAATTCCATCCGCAGGCTCAATCTTCAAACCTCACCGTGTCTGTCGTTGTCTTGCCGCTGTCGTTAGCTGTGGGCACCTTTCACGATGTCTCCGTTTCACTCTTTTGTCCTGTTTGCTGGTGTTCTATTTCATATTACATACGGTTATGTTGATTTCGGATCCTTGACTCTTCCTATTGAACCCATTTACCAACCTACTCCGAGACCGAACCAGTTGCCTGGCGACTATGATCTTCGCTATGAGGTTCTTCCCTCGATGATCACGGCCGTTGCCCCTTCAGTCACGATCGCGGGAAATGGAAGCCACCAAACCATGTACAGCCTCCATTATCACCATTACTTCAGCAAGACACGGCAAGGAAGGGGTATTTTCGACAAGCGCGGAGTGTTTGCGAGCGATCCGCCCATTGCAACATGCACTCCTTGTGGAGGTGGAACTGTAAGCTATAGTGGTTCCAGCACAGCTTCTTCTACTTTGTCTTGCACGACCATTACATATCATGTGAGTCTGTCCAAGGTCATATCCCATGTTGCCGAGACTGACAGGATTCTCCAGGGCGTCTTTGATTTTCCCCCATCGACGACAGGTGCATACTGCTACGATACAAATTACAGTGGCGTGTTCCAACCGAGTACTTCGTCCTCCTCTGGCCTGCCTTGTTGTTTCACGATCCCTGCATCATGTCGAATCAACAGCACATTGAGCACCACTAGCACATCTTTCATGGCCTCGACTGGAGTCTTTCGGCCGACAACCTCCTCTACTACAACGGCGTTCAGCTTCGCAACTACAACATCCAGATTTTCCCTGACCACAGCAAGCAACTCCGGTGGATCTTCTTCTCAGTCTCAAGGCCCCATACTTAACAGTGGTAGTTCGCTAACATCTACAAGGAGAACAGTAACTGTCATCAGCGGAACCACAGTAGTCATCACGACTACTTCCACTTCGACTTCAGCTGTGACAGCAACTACAAGCATGGCAAGCTCTTCTCTATTGTCCAGTCAGCCATATACCTCTCCAACGTCAAGCCCCGCTACCAGCACCACCAGCTTGTCGATCATTGTCGTCTCAAGCACGACTATAACGATCACAAACTCCGGTACCGTCGCTTCAACCGTCAGAAGGGGAACATCCTCTTCACTGTCTACATTGACCGTAATCACCGGCACCGCGTCAAGCGCATCATTGACTTCGACTTCGGTTTCGCGCATTACAACAACAGTGCCAAATACCATCATAGGCTGCGGGCAAGCTTCAGGAAGTGGCATCGTCAGTACGTGCTTCGAATCCCTCCATCAATCAGGCATACGACTGACTTTATTGCAGTGGGCACAGGCACAATATACCTAGGAGGCACGCCGATAGTCACCTCGGGAACTGCAAGTGGTACGGTTTTGAAGTTCGATTCTTTAGCAGGCTCTCATTGTTCCTTCACAACGAAGTTCTAACCCTCACGATACAGGCTCAGCGAGCAATATCTCTGGCTGCGGCACTATCATTGCTACGAATGGAACGTTCACAGGGTCTGCTGAGATTACTGGCTGTGCGTGATTCCCTCCATTTTATTGGTCGCTAATAGTATGTAATCGCTGACATGGCATAGGTGGTTCGGGCTCTGGCACCGGTACACTGACTGGCACCGGGACAGTTTGGCCAGTCTACGGAGGTGGACATATCTCGTTTGTCACCTCGGGCACGGTCAGCGGCAATGGTAATTTCAGTGGTTGCGGAACCTTGGTGCGTATCATACTATGCGATTTCCCCCATTACAGGGCATTTTACAGAGAAACCCACGACTAACTCAGAGGCTCCCCCCCTTCTTGCAGACCGGCTCCGGCACCTTCGTCGCAACATCAGGGTCACCCGTAGTGATCACGCCATCCACCACTCCGACTCCGACGTCCAGACCGATCAGGACCGTCAGCGTATATCTCTCCCACTGCCCAGAGTCCACCATGGGCACAAACGACATCCTGCGCCTTGCCAGTGGCTCCAACGTGACGTCCTTCTCCAGACCAAACTTCAACATGATCTCTTCTTCATCGTCTTCCACTAATTCCACTGTTCTCCCCGCTAGCAACTCCACTGTTGGCAACCCCCTGTGCCAGACCTGCCCTAACTCGGTTGGAATCTGCTGCCCGCCGACCGTGCACTGCTCGGCGGACGACGGCAAATGTCCGCTCTACGCGCTGGAGAACTCAGGCAATACGATTAATGGGTACTTGATTGCGCAGGTGATGAACAGCTCTGCGCCCGTGGCGGGACGCAAGAAGATCAGAGCGCTTGAGAAGAAGCGTGATAATGTGGGAAAGGGGTTCGGAGGCAAGGACTTGGTCGCGCTGGAAGTCGAAGTGGAGAGGCAGTTACAAAGACACCAGGAGAAGAGGGCGCATAGGAAACAGTTTTAGCGGCGGGGCAGGGAAGCGGAAATGAGCCACTCTCGATATTTATTATTGTCCTCATTTGGATTCTGTCGGCGGTGGGATAGGATGGAGTGGTGGCAGCCATTCTTCCTTTCAGCGTTTCTATACTGCATATTTCAAATTGGTGGTCCTGCGCCTTGCGTTTGGCCGTAGAAAGAATCCAAACAGTTCCAATGAGGCCTAGTGCTCTAGAACAATTGAGGTCATCATATCTCCATCTGTTATCGTTAGTTGGTACCTGTCATCATCTCAGCCAGCATTGGCAAGGTCTATGTATCGAGCGAAGGCGGAGGCTCCTTTTTGTGGGATAGATCTAATGACCGAGATACATAGTGAACTGGGGCGAGGCTACTAGCCATGGGCATCAACTCGTACGGCGGTGGGTATAGTCTCTTCCCAACGCGCACACTTAACTAGGGGAAGTCCTCTCTATTGGTAACTTAGTTGATTGTCTCTTGTATGAAAGATAGTTCCCCAGAACTATATAAGAAGAACCATAGTCTAGGGTCGACGCCCCAGCCAATCATAACGCTATCCACCACTTCCAACTTCTCCCATTACAATAGTCTGACAGAGACAGCCATCAAATTGACCGGTATAGCAGCCACTTGGCCGCCGTCGGGCCCTCCTGAGGTACATTACCACCTAGGATGTGTCGTGTATTTTGTGCTATTAGAACAGTGATTGCTTGTTTCGAAGTGAGTGGGAGGTCAGACCAAGCATGACGCCAACCCCGAAAAGGGTAGGGAAGTAAGTTCTTAGGTTAGAAGATCTCTAGGATCCGGGAATATTACATCCTGACATAACAGGAGGGTGGCATATGCAGCTTCTAAACTCCCAAGATCGGCTGTGAAGGTGTCAGTATCATTGCTACAGTATCAGGCACTCATATCATCCCTAAACAACAAGAGGCTTGGGTCTACTTGGGTCTTCAAATCTCGTCGTGTGAGAGGCCTCTCAAACGTCAATCTGTGCCAGCGGCAACTCTAACCCAACATCGATGCCGACCATCTCGACGCCGCGATCTTCCAAGAACTGCCCAAACCCATCTTCGTCTTTCACATCCACGCTTTCTCCAGTATCTTCTTCGATCCAGCACGCGGCACTCGATGGCAGAGCTTGTCTCTGCGTCGAGATGCCCATTCTGAACGGCGCTCCAACTCACGTCATTCCACGCTATGATCTTTGGTTCTAGCTGTGATATCGCAGACCCGGCCCCAGGACCGAGTGGTGCAGCTATCTTTCCTGCGGGAACCTTTGCTTCAAACTGCACTCTATTGGCAGCGCCTTGTCCTGTGTGCACATCGCCTCCGCGACATGTCTTGATGCTGACGACCATGTACCAACTGCGACCCCTCTTCAGCCGTTCTAGAACTGCGCTTCTGGTACACTCGTTTGAAAGCAGCTTCTGGACTGCTTTACTTTGGTTCTCCAGGCTGAGGGTCCGGATTTCTTCGGCGTCAAGCAGAAATTCTCCCAGCGCCTCCTGTTGAGAAACGCCTGCAGCGAACCCTTCAGGGCTGCAGCCATGCCCTTGTTGCTGAGTGAGTTGAGAGGGCCGTATCGACCTGAGGAAGTCGAGGCCTTGGTCGGCATTGTTGAGAAAATATGTCGTGGTGGCCCATCTACATGCATTATTATTACATCCGCCGGTCCCGTGAACGAACTTGGGAAACGCGTTTTGTGGGACGAGCTGAGAGTTGAAGCCACCCCTATCTTGACCCCCAACGGCAATACCTGGAGCTGATCCTGTCTCACTTCCAATGTAATCCTCTGGCTATTCGTCTCCTAGCCTCATATCTTCGATCTGGCGACAGGAATTTGGTACGGTTCTATGACACCCTTCTCGAAGGTGACTGGCCACAGCTCGACGACATAGCTTTGGAAGCCCAGTCGCCAGCCTTTCTTGATTTCAAAATTCGTGAAAAGGTTTGCAACACCATCAACATGGAATCGCCGAGCTTTGGAGCAGTTCTACTGACGCTTCTATGTCCGACAAACCGAGTACCTCGAGAACTTCTTGAAGCCATTCTTGCAGGGACCCCGGTTTCCGTCGCCTCTGCCGAGTCGATTATTCAGAATTCCCTGTTCGCTCTCCAGAAGTGTGGCATGATTCGGATCGCGGATGGTGTTGCTTCATGGCAGGTCAAATTGTCCTCCATCCCCTGTTGAATGTTTGCTTCTGCAAACCGAGTATACACGATGTCAAGTCAGCCTTTAAGAGCGCTGATCGAGTAGGCTTAATAGGTGGAGCTCTTCAACGCGCCTTTCGAAGCGCGCAGACAATGGCGGCGAGGATCAAGGTCGATTTCCCTGCGAATCAGCTGCTTGTGAAGAAGGAAGACTTTAAATTTGTCATACCAATTGTCTTTGTCGGCTATAGAAAGAGAGCTGATAGATCCCGCCGTATTTCCTCCCTGGACAGCGAAAGGGCTAAAGAAATTGTTCGAGAAGATTGGACGGTCTTGGCCATGATCCTCCATTATCATGTCAACAAGCCCTTCAATGATGACCCTTATGTCGAAGGCACGTTTGATTTCCCGTTTGTAACGATGGAGGAGTTCTGCCGAGACCCCGACAGGCCATCAGTTTATGCCCATTTTCTTGGGAGGATTGCCTTCTTCGGCATTGAGCGGATGAGGGAATATTATGCTCCAAGAAATTTCAACTACAGTACGTGGTGGGAAGACCTTGGACTCGAGCACATAGTTGACGAGGACTGGGAGGAAGCGGATGGCGCTGCAGAGGGTCTGGGGCAAGTCGCGCCAGGAGCCCCTAGCCATGAGAGACCTCTCAACCTTACCGGCACTGACGCGCTATCCGAAGGAGCTCCGAAGAAGGGCACTCTTCAGTTCTGGGACTTCCTTCGCCTCGCTACGTTCTTTCGGTTCCGCCGAATCGTCTCCTTTGATACACTCGACAAGGATTGTTGGGCTTGGAATGATCGACTCATCCGTCTCTTTGAATGGAGCAAACGAAATGGCCATATCAGGCCGTGGAAGTCGAGAGAGTGGCTCAACGACTGGGAAATCGAAACCCGAGTTGCAAGGATTGAGCTCGCTGCCCAGACGGGTTCGCGATTGCCTCAAGCCATGGAGGAAGCGTTGAGCCTTCCAGAGTCGAAGGATTGGGGTGGAGATCCGCAGAGCAGAAAAGAGTTTTTGGTCCAAATTTGGGCAGCTAACAAGGCCACTAGTAACATGCTCGAGCTCGACTCGAAATCACGTATCCTTCCCTTGCTTTCTAGATCGACTAATGGGGTTCAAGGCGTTGTCCACTCTCTGGAAGGGGGAAAACCGAGACGACCACCATCGGGAATGCTGGACAGGCTACGCTATTTCTTCCGACAGGCAACCATGTCTCTTTCGACGAACCAAAGGGATGAACAGTGCCTCTTGGACACGAATGCGAGGCTGTTGGACTGTCTCAACGCATCGCTCCGTCCATCATCCATTGCGGACCAATGGTGGATACGCTTTTATCTCTCGTCTGTGAGTTTTGATTTACGCCACATTGCTTCGTTGCTGGGAACGCCATCTAACATAGCCTTTCCAAATCACCAGGTCCTGATGATTGAAGGCGACTATTGAGGCGCTGCGGAACAGTTGGAGCTGGTTTGTGACCTTATCGAGGACCATTCTCAGGTCCTCACGTCCATCGGCCACAGCTGGTCTGGGGTTCTAGAAGCAACGGTGGAACCGAGACGAGCGAATGCTACGAGAAAATAGGAAAGCCTGACCTGGACACGCACCACGCACGCGCAGCGTAACGGATCCGGGATAAGTTCGAATACAAGCGGAGACTGGAGAGATTTTATGTTGCACGTGAAGCATTGAACGGTGCCGAAGCATCCCGACCTACAATGGGTGCCAACAAAAGAGGAGATGGCGCAAGCTTCGGAACAGACGGAATGGTTGAACTATGCTTGTCGTAAAACGCACTAGAAAGATGGAGTGCCGCCGTCGCCAACGATGTTTGACCGAGGCGAAGAGGAGAATGCTTCATGAGCAACGACCTTGAATAGTCTGCGGAGCTATTTTGCATCAATGATGGAGAGCCTGTGGCGGTCGCACCTAACCTTACCTCGAGGTTATGATACATGATACATCGCCGCTCGAGAATATCCGGCAACACGGCCTCCTCTGCGATGCTAGAAGAAACATATGGACCGCTTCCTTATCCTCCTTTATACCCTATACAATGTACATACGAAGCCATGATCTGAGGTTTATTGAATTTCGTGATGCCTTCCCGTTGAGTGCCCCGGGGCGATCTCCCGCTCAGTGTTGAAGCATATATTGATGGGTCGTTCGCAATCCGAGATCCAGAGGGGTCAAACAAATATCAGTTTCTTGGACTAATCAATCTACTTCTTGAGCCGATACTACACGCTTACGCTTTTAAGGTTATTGGAGCGTTCGGACCCTGCCATATAATCGCGCCTAAACCTAATGAAGTTAGTCTAGCTGTTTACCGGTGGTTGCCAAGCTTCCGGCCTAAGTTTACCGCTTTGGTTTCCTGTACGTCTGTTCTATTATCAGCAACACTTCAACGATGCGATTTTCAGCAGAGCTAACTTGGCGTCCTACAACTCGTCTATGACGGAATTAGGATCAGTATCCGAGGTACTCCTGTAGTAGCTGACCTGATCAATTCTAGGCCAGCTTCGATCCGGACGCCCGCGAAGCCTTCACGCCCTCCGCTTCATCGTGGAATCCTCAGCCGGGTGTATCCCATTGATGGGCAACATTGGTCGACAATCTCCTAAAGAGTCAACATACCCAGAGGGCCCTACAATCGCTATACGTCATGAGAAAGTCGTGAACAAGTAAATAGGCAATCACCCTGGCATTACGCGACGGATCTCCAGCGATGGTCACGATCACATTGACCTCGAGTACTACCAGAATGACAATATCCTTGACTACCTCAATCAGTACAGAGACTATGTTCCACGTGCTTTAGTGGCACAATGGGGCTCACAGATTATCGAGGCCGCCATTGCTGGGACAATCAGCACTTAGGTACGAGATGGCATCCCATTTCTTTCCGAGGGATCCAAACGATCCGAACACAGTTCGATCCGATTTATTTACATTCGGTTCAACGCTCTACGAACTCGCTTATTGTAAGGCGCCATACAGCGAACTATACCCTCAGCAGCCTATATCTCTTGATCCAGACACCTACAATTCTTCCAGCAAGCTTCAAGAACAAGCAGGTCAAAAAGTGCAACAACTTTTCAGCGAAAAGAGCTTTCCAGATGTGTCAGGTCCTTTCTGTGGCGCGACCATTGGAGGTTGCTGGGAGGCGAGATTTATATCGGCTGAGGAAGTCCTTTCATCATATAAAGGTGAAATAATCAAGTCCGTAATGACAGTGAACCACCACACATGAATTCCGTGCTATCAGAACTGTGATCGCTCATTTTGCAGTGAGTGCAGGTGTGATGACTCTGCAAAAATTCAATCCAACCACTCTTCACGGACGCCGTTCTCAACCAGCGCGATCTCTCCATTTCTAGGACACAACAGGACGCCGTCTGGGCGCATAATGGCTAGGTCCAACCAGTCTAGGTTTATCCAATCACGGGGGAGGAAGAAGTGGCGTTTGACACGGCCACGGGCTTGGTTCGATTCATTCATCGTGTACGTGCACACCCAGAAGTTGTGGTCCAAGAACGCCAGGACGTGATGTGTCGTCGGTCTTGTTCCAGCTGTTGACGGTGTTGTGTTAGCGTATAACCTCCCGCGGGCGATATTGTCGACCTCGAGGAAGCCGAGGGGCTTGGCCATATGTGTTTGCAGCTCCAAAGGTAAGGGATTCGCCGGTATCGTTGAGGAGTGTGTCATCCCCATCAAATTGGTTACGTTGATGAGCATGTGCTGCCTTTCATACCGGCCTTGATGCGTGCTGCGTGAGGTCGCCACCAGCGCCATTGTACCGTCGACTGTGTAGATTATCTTGTCGACGACTTCCTGGGTCTCAGAGGGGCTTATAGGGTATTGTGATGAGGGTCTTCTGTGCATCCATGCAAGACCCGGCTGGGCAACCGCCCCATCCACCAGTGACCGATCGAGGGCTATTCGTCTCATTATTGTAGCATCTTGCCAATCGATTATCTGGACCCCCTGAAAAGAGAATCCGATCACCTTGGTGGCATCGTCTGGAGAATTGAGCCACCGGTGCAATGCCGTTTGTTGTCTTGTAGAGATAATTTGCTGTTTATGGGTGGCCCATATGTTTATGAAGCGGTCTGTAGCGACCAAGAGAAAGTCTCCCATCGAGCTCAGCAGTATCTGCCTGATCACTTCGTCTTCCCTACCGGTCATGACCGGCTTCGGCTTCTCAGTCGGATCCGAATGGTTGACCTGCTTCACAAACAGTCGGCGCCCCATGCTCGATGCTGCTGCTACGAAGCGGCCATCAGTACTCCAGCAAATGTGATCGACGGCCATAAATGTCTGAAAAAGTTCGGACACGGCATTTCCTTCGTTTGTGAAATGGACCACAAGGCCATCATCGTTACCAGATGCGTATGATAGACCACTAGGTTCCACTGCAAGCATAGTGATAGGTTGGAGCGTCTCGAAACTGGTCTCAGAGACATGAGAAGTCAAAGAGCTTTTCCGATTGCTCATGGTCTCGGTGGATCTGTCTTCCGTCTCCCACATACGCACCAGGGCGTTGGGCTCCCACACACTGCAAAAGGATTCTCGAATATCATAGATCCTAGTATCGTTCGGATCAATAGCTAGACTTGCCACCGGAGCCGAATACGACAGCTGGTAGATTGGCGAGAAGTGAAAGAAATCCCAAATCCGCAGGGTGCCATCCCGGCTGCTTGTCACGAAGAACTTCCCGTCCGGGCTACACTCCACCTTGCCAACGGACAGATTTGATTCTTGATAGTCGCCTTCGAAGGGGTGCCACTTGAATACACACCCGTCGTTATATATACCAACTACATGGCCCGTCATTGGGTGCCAAGTGATCGTTTGGATGTCTGAAGTGGTACTGCTGAGTGCTTGACGACCGTCAACGACTCTTTGGCACCTCCCTAATAAATGGGGCCGTGGCTCCTCAAGTGACCATATCATGAGTGGGACTGCGCGATATGTTACTGCAATCTGGGAACCCGAAGGATTGAAAGAAGCGCAGCGAGGGGAGCCTAACTCCTTGCCCTCGAATCTTCCCTCCCCAAGCACATGCTCCATGACTTGCCAGCCTTCATCCGGCCTGTCAAGACTTAAGCTCCGGATGGTGCGATCATCGCAACACGTTAACAGCGTCTCATCATTGTTCACAAATGTGATGGTTAGGGCTTTGGATCGACGAGGATTGGCACAAGAAGACAGCTGCTGCGCAGTGGCAGCAGCCCAAACAATAGTCTTGGTGAGTCCACTTGTCACCATTTTGTCGCCAACAGTATTGAAGCACCACGCCAGGACCCTCTCACCATGATGAAAAGTTCCAGCTTCTTCACAAGTACTCGCATGGTACAGCTGGACTGTCCCATCCGATAGCAAGATGGCAAAGTAGCGGTTTGCACATTTGATCTGGAGTGGGGACTTGAGACCGTGAACAGTGAACTTTGCAAGGCAGTCATCCCAAGACTTCGTCGACAGGCCAGAGACTGACATACCCAAACTTGCCGTCCGGTCACCGAATTGCTTGTACATCATAGAATTTCGAGGACAAAAGGGTGCCACAAGTTTGAAAATGAGCTTTGGCTGCTCGTTAAGATGAGAGCCGAATTTACCGACCAGTCTGATAAGGTCTATGCTCCACAAGTCTAAGACCTCTTTGTCCCTTTGGTGTTGAGTAAGTGAATTTCGGGCTACGTTTAATCGATCGACATTTTTGAGGAAACTGGCCAATTTCCTTGAAGCTTGGACTAAGAGTCGCAATTGCCCAGCAACCGACAACAGATATATCCAACCGAGGACAGCGGGGCTTTGGAAGAATCGCACCAGAAGAACAAGCGATTCCTGATCAGAAGCCCCAGTGAACTCAAAGCTTTGTTCTAAGTGGAATGGCCATGAGGTTGCCGCATATAACAAGAATGCTTGAGACTTGACCTGGCCCGCTTGGATCTTTGGGCTCGCATTGATCAGCTTGGTGATGCATTTGAAGAATATGGATTGGTGTGAAGCGCCTCGAGGAACGTGGTAGTTGAGATTAGGATTCTGTAACAGACAGTCCCGAGCGGATGAGTGAACCATTGATACAACACCCTTGCTGTCCACGAGGATAAATTCTGCGCAAACACGACTGATGGTGTACTTTAGGTCGATGATCTTGGTGTGCTCCGGTCGTAAAGCTTCGGCCAAGTCTAACAGCGTCAAAGGGTGCCTGGCACAAGCTATCCACATGATAATGGCTTTACCCATGGCTTGATCCGATGGGCGGCAGTTCTGCGCGAGCTTCGTGTCCACACGTTCGTACAAAGCCTCGAGCTCGCTGGGGACCTCCACCAGCGCTCTGAATACCGCGTCTTCAGTGTGACATTGTAGCACCTCAGCCAGCACCAGGTTAGCCCATAGGAAATTTCCATCAGCCTTGCGCACGAGCTCCTCTACAACTGTGAGCTTAAATTCTTCATCGCCCCGCATCGTCGTCATTTCCTCCTCCACGTACATTCGAAGGTCGTCAGTCATATTCTCAAGCAAATGATGACGAATTGGTAGCCTCTTCGATAACTTTTCAAATGCAGAAGAAAGATTCTGGACGCCGCGACTGAATACCATAAGTCTCACAGGACCTGGAAACGTATGTAGATCTTCCAACAGTTTCAATAACATGCTTGCCGAATCACATTCGTCTAGTCCATCGATAAGGATTACCAGGGGCCGAGTTAGCTTGACTTTAAAAAGGGCTGAAATAAAGAGCTTTTGCCACAAAAGACGGGGTGCCGACTTTTGGACATTGAGGCCGTCGTCAGAAAGACGGAGTAAGTGCCGGCGATATTCTGGCAGACTAGCGGCAACCTGGTATGCCAAGGACAAAAGCAAGGAGTTAATATTGTTCTTGATGTGGTCTCCGAACCGAAAAAAGTAAAATGCCACGTCGAAATCCCTCTCCTGGATAGATTGGACGATGGATGATGCAAGAACAGATTTGCCCGATCCTGGACGGCCAGTGCACCAAAGGCATCGAGGTTGCTCCGCTTCGTCGCCGAAGAAAGAGGTAAACGTCGGGTCACTGTTTGTCCACTCACAAGAGCCAGTCATTCTTCTGCTTGTGAAGAACATGAGATCGTCCGTTGGTTCCTCCACGGGCCCCAGAGCCAAAGCAATCTTATGGAGTTCATCTACAGAATCGGTTTTCACCCGATCTCGCAAACCGTATTTCTCCACCAAGTATTTGAGGATGTTGCGGACGCTAATATAATTCGGGTCCAGTTGACTTGTATATTTGCAAACGTCGTGGTGGTCGGCATCGAGAGGTTTTGAAATCTCCCCTGGATACCCGAGAATGGAAGAGTCCTTCTGAAGCACCATCACTCGAGATAACCCTATGGCCGTCTCTAAGGTCTCAAAGAAGGAAACAACTGACACTCTCGAAGCCAAATTCCTAAATTGCTCGTTGATTTCCTGGAGGGTTCGCGAGTTTGTAGCGAGTTCGGACACAAATTCTCTCGGAGATAAGCCGATGCATACTGAAAGGATTCTGTTCAGAGCTTCCGCAAGCTCGGATCCACGATGCGGTGTTGAAAGGAAGACGATAGCCGATACCGCCTGAATGAGATCATTGTAATGTTCGTCATGCTGGCCGAGGATGAAAGCTTTCTTCGCCACCAAACCTCCCATAGAGTGCGCAACAAATATGATGGGTACCGTTCCAATGTTGAGTTTGCGCTCGTCTTTCCCGGCTGCGAACTTCAAGCAGAATAGCAAATCCTTTGCAAAGTCCGAAATGTTGAGAATATTCGCTTTTCCGTGTGACAGGGAGGAAAAATGAGCATTATAACCGAAGGTCATGACACGAGCTGATGATAGGCCAGGCTCGTATGGGAGCCACTCACGGGGCCAGAATAGCTGTAAATCGCGATTTTTGGACCAGGTATGGCGGCTTGTACCCCCCAGACCGTGTATGAAGACAATGTCTGCCGATGGAGAGGACTCTGGCTCATAAAGGACGGTTAATCCTAGGGGGTCCGCGCGACGTTCGTCTGAGCGCTGCTTTGGCCTAGCCTCCGAGGTCTGGGAACGTCCCAATCGAAGCGGGAGATCCAAGCCGAAGAGGTGACTTCTGTGCGCAGCTGAACGGTTCACTGGCCGTCTAGCCTTTTTATCATCCTGCTCAGCATCCTTGACTCGTGCAGTCCGTTCTTCGGAATTGACAGCAAATGCTGGCGACCCGAGTCTTTCTTGTTTTCGAAACCTAGAGATCTGTTGCTGTTTAGTTAGGTGAGAAACGTCAGTATCAACAGTCACTCCCACCATGGCAGCAGTCTTCAATTGTTGGAAGTGAGAACGACACGCGACTGCTCTGCCTTAGACAGACAGTGCCGGTTCGCAAACGTGCTAGAGGTGTGAGATGGCAGGTGCTTATCGGTGGGACGTGCCATGTATCCCGGACTGAGGCACGTGCAATGTGGTCGTCAATATGGCGGCAGCCGCTGTTTATATCATCTGGCCAGGATATTGAGTATTAGGGAACCTAAGGATAACCAATGGCTGCAGAATGGTGATAGCAAAGATGATACAATGACAGAGGATGAGGTTGAAAGAAATAAACTGTCCAGCATTTACTACGTGTTCGGGCTTGAGATGGAGGAGGGGTAGCCTCCTGCGACCCTCCCTGTTTCCAGTAGCCTGCCACGAAGAGCTATTAGCGCGCAAAAACGGAGCTCGTAACAACAAGCCTTCAGACGGTCACGAGTGCCTGAGTCCTCCATCACAGAGAGAGGATCACCATACCCGCCGGCAATCCCGTCCACGAATTCCCCAACCATTATGCAGAGCCTCCAGCAGACTAGAATATCGCTGGGCGCTATCTCTCAGACAGTAAAGCGTCAGGCTGAATATTGGAGGAAGTGTGGGATCGATTCGAGTTCAATTAGGCTTCAGCCTAGACGCAGAGAGACAGTTCCGCAACTTAACGTTGGCCTAGTAGCTGGCGAGACTGGTCAGGGCCGACCCTGGACTAGGGGACTAGGGGGCCATACTCTCAGTCCTGGTTTGGGGGCTTGTTCTTTCTGTCATTCTTTGGTCACCGCTAAAGCGTTGCCATGCAGGTCCTGGTCCTCTGCATGGTTGTCGACACACCTTTACGCGCTCATCGAATCTTCAGCCGGCCTACACCGGCACAAGACAACTAGGGGCTTCTAACCGCTGGAGTATTTCTGAGCACTAGGTCTGTTTCAGAAGCCCGACCAATGTACCCAGTATACAACATCAGCTAAGACAAGGGATCGTGGAGGTCCAAGGCATGTCTCCTCATCTATCGAAATTGGCGAAACACGCAGTTTGGTGAAGGAAGTCATCCCGGAAGTGGGAGGGGCATTTGTGCTTGACGAGAATGTGGCCAAAGGTCTGCCATGATTGTCTGCAGCGAGTGAATGAATCTTTGCTAACTCAAGGCAGCTTTTCCGACCGTCGCCGTGGTTGTTGAGGCAATCAGTTATGGCACGGCTGCCTGGACTCGGGCGTCACGAATTACTATAACTTTGCCCGACGGGGAGTAGAAATCGTGTTTTCTCAAGGTAAGAACCTATCTTCTACCTAAATGTTGATTGCTGCTTACCAGGAGCCGTTGTAGCGCGCAACGGAGCAGCAGGGGAAAGAGATGATGGAAGGAGAATACCGTTCAATGATGGAGATCTCCTCGTCCATGCATGATCCTGTGCCAAAGCCAATAGTCTGGGGCAAATTCAAGCCCCGGACGCCTATTTCTTTCTTATGGATTTCATCGACTTGGGTCCTGATATGGCTGAGCCCGAGGATTTCTGTCGCCTCATCGCGCAACTTCATCAAAACAGTACATCTCCAATGGCAAAATTCGGCTTCTTCCAGACCACCTACCACGGACCTAACCCGCAAAACACGACCTGGAAGGGCAGTTGGTGCACCTATTTCACCAGGCTGCTGACTCAATTCTATAGACGGGAGATCAACCAAAACGGACCACAAGCAGAATACGAGACTGCCTACCAGAAATTGGTTTCCGACGTCGTACCACAGCTCCTCGAGCCTCTGCAATCCGACAGCCGTATCAAGAAACCCTGCCTGATCCACGGGGACCTGTGGGAAGAGAATACCAGCCTCAATCTCAATACCGGATTACCTGTCGTGTTTGACCCCAGTGCAATGTATGCTCACCACGAAATGGAGCTGGGCATGTGGCGAGTCGATGTTGTACGGTTCGGAAAGCCATACTATGACCAATATCTCAGCCACATGCCACCCAGTGAGCCTGCTGAGCAGTTCGACGATCGCAATCGATTGTATAGCATCAAATTCAAAATCGCTCATTGCCTGGGTTGGTCAGATTACGCGCCGAGTCACCGTCAATGTTGAGTGGAAAAATCGCAGAATCTCGGTCTGCAGTCACTGGCATTCGCAACGACACTGAATGATATGCAGTATTTGATCGAGAAATATTCGTCGAAACAGGGGGTGGCATTTCTTGACACGAATTGGACTGTGGGAAACTTGCAATTGCAAATCCTGTGCTAACCTGGCAGCTCCCCACTCTCCGCGTTCTTACCCTCTATTCCATCAGCAGATTATTGCCCGGCTGCAAGGGGGACCAAATTCATGAATATTTGGGTGTGGAGGGATCAATGTCTCCGTTCTGAGAAACTTAACCTGTCGCTGACCTACGCCTTGTGTTGTTGTGCGCACAGACTCTCATTGCACCCTGTATGGCACATTCCTGACCTTCTAGTAAGTACAAGGTATCGCTTTCCTCCTGTCACAGAACGTGCTTTAACATGGCGGTCCCGCATGGATACAGCCTAATTGAAAGAAAGGCACCATCTGTCCAGTCCTGATTGACTTCAAATGCACTGAGATGGTATTCTTTGCTATGAGAATATCTGATTTCAAGCCGCATACACATAAGTTATGGCGGGAAAGACTATTCGTCTTTCAGGTCTACGGGTTGCTGGAATGTGAATTTTTAAATGCTCGAACGGTCGACACTTCCATGTCGAGTTAATCTAACGAGCCGTATTCCATCTTAACGAGGTCGCAAAAACTGAGCATTATGGTGCTCGTAGCGTTTGCCTCCTGCTTCTCTCCAGTAAGCAGCTTCATTTATTATCCTGCTCTTACGGCAATCCCGAAGGACTTGCATACCACTCTGTCCAGGGTCAATTTGACCATAACTTCTTACATGATCGTGTCGGGCGTTGCACCTACGCTATTTGGGAGCATGGCAGATCAAGTGGGAAGACGGCCTGTTTATCTTCTCATGTTTGTTCTTTATGTTCTTGCCGACGTCGGATTAGCCTTGCAGAATACTTACCCAGCTCTACTGCTGCTCCGCATGCTTCAGAGTGCTGGCGGTTCTGCTACAATTGGTCTTGGATATGGTGTCGTTGGCGATGTGAGTCCCTCTTCTCCTTAGGAAGATCGTTTCACCATCGTGCCAAGTTAATACCAGAGCCCCGTCATGGAGAGAGAGAATCTGACAGTGGTTCACAGATCACAGAGCCTTCTGAGCGTGGATCATACATGGGCATCCTAGGCTGCGGCCCAACGTTGCACCTGGTCTAGGACCTGTGCTCGGTGGCGTGCTCGCTGAGAAGGCGGGGTGGCGCTGGATTTTCGGGTTCCTGGCGATTTCAGGCGCTCTCAGCCTCGCGCTGATTGCTGTCCTGCTGCCAGAAACTGGGCGCAACATTGTTGGCAATGGTTCCCATCCTGCCCCTGTTTTAAACAACAGTCTTCTACTCCTCTGGCAAGAAAACAGGCAAAGGAAGAACCCCCTGCCAATGCCCGAAGGATACCGCACAGCTACATTAGAAGCTGTTTCCCTCATAGCGAGGTCAAGGACACCAAATCCTCTGGGAAGTGTGCATATATTCCTGCAAAAAGAAAGCGCCACCGTCATCCTCATCAATGGAGTCTTTTACAGCGCATACTGCTGCCTGCAAGCGTCCTTGTCGTCTCTATTCATCACCATATACGGTTACAAGGAGCTGGAGGCTGGCTTGATCTACCTACCATTTGGCGTGGGATGCTTTGTTGCGTCCTTACTCTCAAGTAAGTACGAAAGCACTCTTTTCAATATTTACCCGAAACCCACCCTTTTGTTGTATCCTGTAATTAACACGGTTTCTACTTCCAAAGGGAACATTCTCACGCATGACTATCGCTACCTTGCTGTTCGCCACGGTCTTCCTACCTCCAGCGCCGAAACATCCCCGTCCCAGAGACTCGCGTTTCCGATCTTCCACGCCCGTCTACGAAGCATGACCTACCTGCTTCCCTTTTCCATTTTTTCTCTCCTTGTGTACGGCTGGGTCCTGGAGTACCACGTGCACCCTTCCATCCCACTTGTCTTACAATTCTTCATCGGCGGCGCCATGACCATTGTGTTCAACGCATGCGGGACTCTCCTCGTCGACCTGCACTCGACTCGTCCGTCGACTGCCCAAGCAGCTCTGAATTTGCTTCGCTGTGCCCTTGCCGCAGGAGAACTTGCGGCATTACAGCCGCTCATCGACGCCATCGGTACGGGCTGGTGCTACACCGTGATTGCCTTGATGACTGGAGGCATTGCTGGCGTGTGCGTCTTTATTGGGAGGGTATGGGGTGAGACCTGGAGAAGACAAAGGGACGATATACAGAACACTACTGAGGAGATCGGGTGACTGGCGCCTATTACGAGAACATGAAGCGGTTCGATTAGAACTAAACCAAAGATAACAGCTACTCTATATGCTTTCGGAGACGCTCCGTCCTCCCAAGGGCTTGAGGTTCGCCAATCAAGGGCACAATCCTTTCTCCAATCATTCAAGATTGAGGACGACGCTCTGACATGGTATCTATGCCTCTGATGCGCGACCCTGTCCGGAATACGCGCGGAGTAACAAAACATATCAGGTCTGCCCTACAAATACGAGGCAATGGTTGGATTCACTACCTAGTGGTAAAGGCAGTGACACCGGCAGTCCGTAGTCAGGAGACAGCGTGACACCTCGAGGATAGGTACTCAACCCCTCTACTGGTTATTGACCAGGTATCCTTGACCGTTTTACGACTGTTCTCGTTCTCTGACCTCTGTCGTCTCAATGGAGATTCAGACGTATCTTGCCCAGTGCCACTCAAGCAACTCAGATACCGTCTGGCGTCTTCTCGCCGACCAGCTTGGATTCTCCTGTCTCCGGCTGCAAGCGACATACCTAGATACTTATTGTAAATGAAGGGGCATCTTTGATCTGCCATTGGATCACTTCGGCCTTGTTAGGCTTGCTATGTCTTTGTAGGTTATTCATTGCTCATTCCTTTGCCGCCGTCGACCGAGCTAAGGCTCTCGTTCTCTTCCAAATGGCACAGCGCCGACCACCACCAGTTTTCTCGCAGATCGGGGAGACCTCGCATCCGCATTCTGGTGTTGCTTGGGCTCCGGCGGCCTTCTTGCCCTCGGCCTTGGTCGGGAGTTCTTTGGCTTACCCTCAGCGTCGTAGGAACGTTGTCGATTCACCTCACGTATGACTTGCTCTGGGTTCGAGCCGCCCTTGCATGCATCTGCAAACTGTTCGGTCTCGCACAACAGAATTCGGAGAAGGTGCTCTGAAGTTGACATGAGACTTGTGCTGGAAGAGCGAGGCGAGACCGTCTTCGATAGGTACGTGAACGAGCTGCCTGACATAGTGAACGAAGCTTTGACCGAACCCGGAAATACATTCCCTGGTCTATTAATTACCTCCTGTTCTCGGGTTGGGACAACCATCTGATTTGACAAACGGGACCAAGCTTGGCCGAGATGGAACTCGAATCTAAGACTGACTTGCTCTGATACCGAGCGAACCCTAAATGTCGGAGCCTTGGCACGCCCACCGCCCTTTATAGTTCATTTTTGTACTACATCCTACCTGAGACCCGTGATTCCTTTCCCTCGAAGGTTGCAGAACCAGTCGTAGCTGCCGGCGAGCAAAGTCTGTTGGGCGCAATGATTGAGTGTTGAAAGCTTGCAAGTTTCGGTAGGGATGATCAGAGACAGTGCGAAATATCCAGGAGAACTCTTTTGTATGAAGATTCTTCGGAGCCGTAAACAGCATTCAGTTTACCCTACGAACCCAAGCCGCCAAGTGCGAGAAGTGCGGGAAGCTCAAGCACGAGGAATAAATGGAGCAGGCTCCAGTACCGTATCTCGGTTTTGTATATACGATGATGCAATGTCATAGCGTGAAGACCAGGCCGATCGTTTGCCTGAGCAAGAAATAATCAAGAATCGAGTCTGGAGTGTGAGATCCCATGCTGGTGGACCTGTCTCACTGCCCATCATTCAACTTTGATTCGGATGTGCCGCCATGAAGGACAAGCAGGTTGGAATTTAGAAACGCTCTCCAATATGAATTGGTGATCCGCCCAAGCAAGAATAACTCCTCAGTCTTTCATACTCGATAGGGCATTCAAGAATTGAATTCTATATTTATTTCTCCTTCACTGTCCTAGAAGGACTTCTCATGAATGCAGTCTAAACCCTTGGCTTCGTGCATCGTCAAAATTAAAAATCAATCGCTTGAACGCGTTGCAGAGATCCTCCCCGTCTATTTAATCTATGTCTATATTCTATGTCTATTTCAGCTTTGCCGTGAATCATTACCTAGAACCCTAACACTCGAAGTCCCACATGTCCAAGAACTCGTCCATACCATTCTCTTGCCCAGTAGCATCGTCTTCACTCTCATCTGCGGCAGCAAAGATCTTCTTGGGAATCTTGTACTCCACGACGGGTGGCTTCTTTTCCTTCTTCTTGAACTCGCTCTCTAGCAGTGTGGCATAGCCGTGATCGAGGAAGTCCTCGAGATTGTACTGTTGCTTTGTGAATTGCTCGGAGATGATTCGAGCGATGCTCGCAACCGTGGGGTGATAATGTGACTGGCATGTCTCGAGTTCCCATAGCGAGGAGTCGATGGCATTGGTAAGTTGCGGATTAGGCTCGTTCGGGTCATAGGGGTCGTTGCCAAGGTTATGCTTGAACTTCGTGTAAGGAGGGTATGGATTGCGGTGGATCATGAAGGTCGTAGTGGGGTGCTGTTTGAGAAGGTTGTAAATGAAGGGAATGATGGCCACGATGGCGGATGGAGGGGCAAAGAGGCACAGCCGTGAAAGACGCTTGATGAAGCTCGCAATTGTTGCTGCCGGCAAGTGGTTTGTCGGAGACAGGAAGGTGTCGAGATGCCGCAGTACCCGACTGCGATATTTGCTGTGTAGAAGATCTCGGTCAAGCAGTGCGTAGAGTCGAGGGTAAAAGGAGGGGTAGTCGAGGTTCTTTGTGGTGATGAGATGGAAGAGGCCGGTGAGAGCTGGCACTGCAAGGCTCAAATCCCTGGTGTTGAGACTGTCGGTGAAGAAGTCCATAAGGATTTCTGGACGGCGGAGGCTGTTGATGGCCTCGGGCGACTGAAGCTGCTTGAGCAATTGCTTACGCTGCGGCGCCGTCATGGGAGCCGCGATTTGAGCAGCGTACGAATCCATGGCGGTTGAGGAAGGCATGGTGGGCAAACTGCCGAAAGACAGTGAAGGTGGGTGGGAGAAATAGAGAGCAATGGAGAGCAGATGCTCCCAAAGTCCAAGAGAGAGAATCACCCCTCCTCGATGCCTAATGTGCTCGCTGTCCTCAATCTCCTAATTTGTATTTGGCAGGCGGCTTCCAGGCTTCCAGGCTTGGTGGCCCCTCGCCTCGAAACAAACATTTTCTGATGGCGCCAATGTATGCCAAGCACTAGGCTAATTACAGAATAGCGCGCCCAGACCTCAAATGCAAGCTCTCATCCAAACTTCAACGTCAGGAGGAGCTTCGGGTCGAACTTGTTCAGGCTACGAACATCACAACAATGGCGTCTCGACTGGCAAGGAGTGCGGCTGGTGAGTGTCTTATACTGACTGGAGCTCAGCATGGGTAAAGGCAGAGCTGACAACGAAATCTCAGGAGCCAGCAAACTCCGCCCATTGACTTCTCTTCCGATCCGCGCCCTCCCATCGCTCGCTGCTAGCACACCCTTGACCTCCGTCCGTCATCAGTCCTCCTCGAACGTGCCCTCGCAAGACCCCAAAAAGACTGCTCAATCCATTGTCGATGCCCTTCCCGGGTCCTCTCTCGCCAGCAAGACCGCCATCCTCTCCGCCGGCGCTGGAATCTCCATCTGGGCAATTAGCAATGAGCTCTACGTTGTGAATGAGGAGAGCGTCATCGCCTTTTGTCTGTTGTCTGTCTTTTACGGTATCTTTAAATATACCGGCCCCATGTACAAGGACTGGGCGGACGGACAGGTGCAGAAGATCAAGGACTTGTTGAACGAGGCCAGGATAAATCACGCCAGTGCCATTAAAGAGCGAATCGAGGACGTCAAGCCCTTGAGCAACGTGGTAGAGATTACGAAGCAGCTGTTTGATGTTTCAAAGGTAAGCCATTGAAGGGAGAAATCTCCCTTGGACCCAGTTGCTGACGGTTCGTGTTCCAGGAAACCGCCAGACTCGAGGCCCAGGCTTTCGAACTCGAGCAAAAAACCGCCCTGGCCGCTGAAGCCAAGAACGTCCTGGACAGCTGGGTCCGTTACGAGGGTCAGGTCAAGCAGCGGCAACAGAAGGAATTGGCCGATAGCATCATCGCCAAGGTCACCAAAGAGCTTGAAAACCCCAAGGTTTTGCAGCAGATTTTGAACCAGTCAGTGGCGGACGTTGAGAAGTTGGTTGCTAGCAAGAGCCAGTAGATTCAGAAGGGGAATGATCCGACTTGGCTAGGGAGACCAGATGGGTGGGTGATGGGGAGAATGAAGCGGAATGTCTAAGGCGTGGACATGGCCTGATGTGCTTTGGAGGGGAAGACGGTGGAATGGCATTCATTGTTGTACATAAAATAGCTCTCTTTAGAAATTTCCGGGGAAAAGAGCACGTCGAATCCACCCACGTTTTTCCAGGTGTCGTTCCATGGTCAAACAAAACACCGGTTCAATGCCTTTCCATGGACCATGTCAAACCACCAGATACTTCTCCGTGACTTCTCTGGCCATCTCCGGGTTCCCACTCAAAGCGTACATCGTCTGAACGGCATATGCCGCTTCCATGGTAAAATCCGTGCACCTCACGTCCTTCATAGTATCCTTGCCCTGGTCCCCTCTATCAGCGGTTTCCGGCGCCGAAGAAGAAGTGGAGGCAGCAGGGACGACGGCGAGCGAAAGCATCTCCTCATATGCCCGCACAGCGAGATCGGACAGGCTGAGCATATGCCAGCATCGTGCGCGATTAAATGCGATCTCTCGCTCGGCCAACATCAACTCCAGACGGTCCCGATCCACGCCGTCTGCCGAACCCGCCACCATCACCGTATTATCTGCGTCGTCGTCGTTGTCGTCGTCACCATTGCGCTTGCGCCGCCATTCTTTTTGTAGCAACTTGTGTCGTCCCGCCCAATGTCTCCTCGCCTCGGCGTACTCTTCAAAGAATGCCCATCCCTGCAACAAACTCATATGACGGTTCTCGCTGTGCTTCTTTAGCACTTCGTGCATGTAGCTCAGAGAGATGCTGAGCAGCACCACCGGGTTTTCCGGGTCGAGAGAGAGCGCGCGGAAAAAGTACGAGAGGGCACTGGCAAACGCGCCGCCTGCGTAGAGGACATGGCCGTAGAGCGTGAGGAGTGCGATATTCATTTCCTCCGGCTTCGTGATATCTTGGTGCGGGTGCTGCTGGCGCTGCTGGCCCTGAATGTCCTTCTGGGCAGGAACCGGCGTCTCCTCGTTGTCGTCTCTACTACGGACAGTGTGTTCCGTCCCACCCTGGCGCATGAATTCTGGGACTGGCCCATAGCCTTCGGGGGCATAATCCATCGGCAGATTTGCATCCATTTGCACAATCTGCTTGAAGAGGAACTGGTGGGTACTGCGATTGCGAAACAATACACCAGGACGAGAGTATACTAGATTCATGGCAGCAAAGAGGCGATAGGCATCAGAGTTGAATTGAAAAGTTCGCAGAAACCATCGCAGCACCACGTTGGAAAGGGTCCTTTCATCTTGCAGGGCAAGAGTGCAGGCGAGATAGGTGACATATATCTGTAGGAGAGCTTGCGGGTCTTGGTTCCAGACCACACAATCCAAGGCTGCATTAACGACGGTGTAGCACCGATGCTCAGCGTCTAGGTCAGCAGTTTGGGCGAGTAGAAGAGCATACTCAAGGAAAACATCCAGCCAGTTTGAGAAGGCGATCTCGCGGTATTCGGTAGGCATGGACGATTCGACGGAAGGGATGGGAAAGTCCCGATCCACTTCCACGCCATTTTGTCCGCTTCCTTGCTCTCTCTCCTCCCATCTCTGGCGCGAGCCGGCGTTGGCAGCTCCCCGGTAAAAGCTGTCTACTGCTTGGTTTCGATCCTTGGAATAAAACAGGCGATTGCTTCGGAAATCGGTGATGAGGGAGTCGGCACAGTCCATCCAGGTATTCCTTGCAATTTCGTCGCCGGTTCTCATGGCTTCTGTGTCATAGACCAGGTCGCTATAGAGTCGGTTGATCATTTCAGTGCGATGAGTCTCTCGTTCCTCTTGCGTCATTCGTTTAGTTCCGGGTTTGGGTTGAGCCCGCGAGCGAGGTGGTTGGCGATCCTTCCTCCTTCGTGCCACGTTCCGAGCCGTCTGTCTGGCGATCTCGCGATCCATTGTCGGCGACATTCCCTCTCTGTCCTCTAAGTAATCATCTTCCAACTCTCCTTCTGTCTCGTCTTGTCCGTGGATCGACTCTCTCGGTGGCATCACCATTGCCTTCCTTGTCTTGGATTTCATTTTCATCCTTCTGAGTTTGGCCTCGATACGCTCAACTGGTGTGCCACCAACAGCTTTGCCAGGAAGGTTGAATGCTTCCTTGAGAGCCTTTTCTGCTTCCTCACGAGCTAGTCGCTGTTCTTTTCGCTCATACTTGCGTCGATCCGTCTTGGGAAGTAAGCTATCGGCAACACGGACCGCCTCCCGAGCGGTCTCCATTGCCTTCTCTTTGTCGCCGAATTCGGCGTAGAGCTTCGACAGTTGAGTCCTTGCCTCAACGCATTTCTCATCTCCAGCCTTGGCTTCCTCATAACACTCGACTGCTTGTAGCTTGTCGCCACAAATGTAAGAGCTAGCTGCGATGCCTAACCAAAACTCTGTGTAAGAATATGCGTTGGTGTCCTTCAGAGCTTCATAATAACGCAGCGCCTGATTGTGTTCCTTAGCTTCCTGCAAGGCTTGGGCAACCTCGAGGAACAAATCCGGGTATTCATAAATGCTTGCACCTTCGTCCCTGGCTTCGGGTTCAAGCCATTCAAAATGCCCCAGTGCCTCATCCAGCATATCCGAGCCCTGCCTAAGCCGAAGTATTCCCAGTCTGACTCGAAGCTCCAAGGGAAGTCCAGGGCCGTAGGCATCGGTGGAGTATCTGCCAGGCACAAATTCAGGCACGAGCACTCGTCGAGGTTCGTCTTCCGAATCAAACTCGCGGTCATCATCGGTGAAATGATCCCAGTAGTCTTCTCGTTCTCGTCCCAGAAGCCAGCGTGCTAACTGTTTCAAAGTTTTTAGAGCGTTCGCGATGGCTAGGTCAGGAGGTTCTTCCAAGGCAAGAATTTGAGCATAGACGAGAATGTCGGCCCAGGTGAAAGACTCTTCACCCTCAAAACCGTTCTCGCGGTAGTAATTTAGGGTGTCCTCGTAGACTTGTTTTGCTCTTGCCAGATCTCTTGTTTCAATGCATATCTCTGCAATCTGCCTCAGGACGCTGGAATTCCGAGGCATGCTTTCGAGAATAGTCTCCAAGTCTTTCATAGCTTTGCTGTAATTTTGAAGCTCTTTGCTGACGGCAGCTCGCTGAAAGCGAGCTTCTAAATTCTCCCGGTCAGTGTGGATGATTCGGGCATAACAGTAACTGGCTTGTTGCAAAGCAGTCTCGCGTTTGCCTTTGGACCGTTGGAGACAAGCGTTGGCTGCTTGAATCCATACTTCTGGATCTGTTGGGATGGTGTGAGCACCGCTAAAGAGGGCGGCGATGGCCTTTTCGTCTTCATCTCGAGAAAAGTATATCTCAGAGAGCAGGGCATGAGCAGAATGGATTTCGGGATTGACCGCGATAGCCTGTAAGACTAGGTCAAGGGCCTTCTCCGTGTCATGATCGTCGATAAAGGCGACCATGGCCTGGCTGTAGAGATCATTGAATTCGGGGCCGGGGTCGAGGGCTTGTCGAGGGCCAATTTTCATGCCTTTGCTCCAACCACCCCGAGGCCCTGTCCCTTTCTTGCGTCGCTTCCTGGGTTGGTTACCTGACAGCGGCAACTTTGCACGGCCTCTTTTCCGTGATTTACTGAGCGTGAGACCGCCGCCTTCAGCCGCACCTATGGACAGTCCTAGGATTTCATGGTCGTCGACAGACGTGTCACTGTCCTCCTCAACAGGAGTTCTCTCCGCTTCCGGAAGTTGTTTGTCATTCTGACTCGAGTGGTCATACTGAGCGATGTCGACATGGTGCAACGCCCCGGAGGGAAATGGAATGAAGTTCGAAGGGCCATCCTGTCCTGGGTTTGCCGAAAACTGGTCAATCAGTTGACGGTGTGACGCACTTTGTAGCTGACTCAAAGGTTGCCCCGGATAGTAGGGAGGATTCAGAACATATGCTTCAGAGGCGAGCAGGGGTTGAGAGAAAGCAAAGCTCTGGTTTGCTGACGACGCCGGAGGTTGCAGGAAGGATGCAGGGTTGTGGAAAACCACTCGTCTAGCAGACAAGTTGTGATACAGTGACGCTGGATTTGGCTGCGATGGCTGCGATGGCTGCGATGGCTGAGATGATGGACGCGGAGGCAGTCCACGAAGAGGGTTCGCAAGGCTCGGCACAGAGTCCTCGAACACCGACGACGATGATGGCGCCAGCGGCCCGGAGGCAGGCCGTGGTGTTCCGTCTAGTGCGGTCGGAAACAGCTCGGCCATCCAGGGATCTGGCGGTGCGGCAGACGAGGAGACATGGCCTGAGTTGAGGTTGTTCATCTCGCATGCCCATCGGTCGACTCATCAGCCTTGTTTGGTGGTGACGGGTTATTCTAACTTTTTTGCGGCAACAAAAGAATCAACTCCGTTGGCTAGTCTGGATTAACCCAATCGGGCAATTTTCTCCGAGCCCGCCACAACCAGGCAGAACCAGGGCGAATACTCGGTATTAATGCATACCACAAAGATAGAGGGGGGGCGAGGGGGGAATTGTTTGTCATGACTTCCCCATCCGGCATCATTGGTGCTTCAAGCACTTAGATCTGCACACAAACACCACCAAGACGGAGAGTCCAGCGACGACTCAGAGGCTCGAATGCACCTCGCCAGGGCATATGGAAGGTCCCTGCTTATGCAATGGCCGTATCGATGCGAAAAATGGCCGGGTGGGATCCCGGATGGTGCTCTTGCTACTATCTCCTCTTCATATCCGATGGCTTCTGGCCCGGTGGTGGCCCCTCCTCGTCACTAGCCCTCAAGAATATCATCATAGCTACATGAACCCCACCTCAAGAGTCTGCTCGCTCGTCTGCTCACTTGAAAAACAACAAGCACCCCACACCGGCATGTTGATGGCTTCTGCCCCCTGACCTTTCCACCCTTCTTCTGCTTTCTCACTCTTGACTGCACCTGTCGTGAAGAGCCAGCTTCCTACAACCCAATCCATCAAAATGGCTGCTGCCACTGCCGGAAAGGTGATATCCAATGCCCTCCAGAAGCTGAATCAATTCATGTACTGACTCCCCGAATTTACTAGACCATCACTTGCAAGGTAAACATTGACGACATCTTGTTCCCAACCGCAACCACACCTGACTCTGCGTAGGCTGCCGTCGCCTGGGAGGCCGGTAAGGACCTGACCATCGAAGACGTCGAAGTTGCTCCTCCCAAAGCCCACGAAGTCCGCATCCAGATCTACTACACCGGCGTTTGTCACACTGGTACGCTGAACGTGCTGTTGCGGGTAAGAATCGGGAACTGAAAGATGAGCCAGATGCATACACTCTTTCCGGGAAAGACCCCGAAGGCGCGTTCCCAATCATTCTCGGACACGAGGGCGCTGGTATCGTGGAATCGGTGGGTGAGGGTGTCACCTCGGTGAAGCCCGGAGATCATGTCGTTGCGCTCTAGTATGTCCTGTCTTCTCCTGCACAAGTCATGATCCTGACGGTGAGAAGCACTCCGGAGTGCGGCGAATGCAAGTTCTGCACATCTGGCAAGACCAACTTGTGCGGGAAGATTCGTGCTACCCAAGGCAGAGGTGTGATGCCCGATGGCACCTCGAGATTCAAGTGCAAAGGCAAAGACATTCTGCACTTCATGGGCACATCAACTTTCTCCCAGTACACCGTCGTCGCCGATATTTCCGTTGTAGCTATTACCGACAAGGCTCCCATGGACCGGACGTGCTTGCTCGGCTGTGGCATTACCACCGGCTACGGGGCGGCAGTGATAACTGCCAACGTCGAGGAAGGCTCCAACGTTGCCATTTTTGGCGCGGGCTGCGTTGGCCTTTCCGTCATTCAGGGTGCCGTGAAGAACAAGGCCGGCAAGATCATCGTTGTCGACGTCAACAACAAGAAGAAAGAATGGGCCGAAAAGTTTGGAGCCACCGACTTTGTCAATCCTACCGAGCTGAAAGGCCAGACTATCCAGGAGAAGTTGATTGAAATGACGGATGGTGGATGTGACTACACCTTTGACTGCACTGGTAACGTCCAAGTCATGAGAGCAGCTCTCGAGGCATGCCACAAGGGCTGGGGCCAGTCTATCATCATTGGTGTTGCCCCAGCTGGCGCCGAAATCTCCACGAGACCCTTCCAACTGGTCACTGTAAGTTCCTTGCCATCAAACTTGGGCCAATGGTGGCGCAGCCAGACTGACAAATGTTTGCAGGGTCGCGTCTGGCGAGGTTGTGCTTTTGGTGGTGTGAAGGGTCGAAGTCAACTCCCGGGACTCGTAAAGGACTATATGGATGGTAAACTCAAAGTCAAGTCCGTCTCTCTCCTTCCACCTTGTCCGGAAATTTTTCGTATTCTTATCTTTCTTCATACCGGTGTTCATTGCTAACGGTTGGCACAGCGAGTTCATTACGCATCGCCAGCCTCTTGACAAGATCAACGAAGCATTCCACGACATGCATGCTGGTGACTGCATCCGATGCGTGGTGGACATGGGTGCTAAGCAAGGGTGACTACACTCGGGGGAAAGTAAGCTCTGAAACCGGATGCAATTTCCAGAAACCAAAATCCGCGTCGCAGTATCAATGGTGGAAAAGACACTCTGAATGTTGTTGGCGCTGGGGAAAAGAAAATCATTTCTCGTGTATCCTGAGAGTCGAACATGTCGAAGCACCCTCTTTCAAAACACACCCAAGCCTAGCATGCTGTCTTTGTTTCTGTTTTCTGTTTTAACCGTCTCCTGGAGGCGTGTACCTCGTACACCCAAAGCTATCCTCTGGCATTTGTCCAGAGCTAGCTGCAAGGCTGTGCTCGAGTCAGGGATAGCGTGCATCCAAGGGCTCTTGGGCTGATGAGGCTCAACCATCCCACCAGTCCATGACCGACTTGTCCGTCTGCATCGGCAATTAATAGGTATGTTATCTTTCGCACGTTTCTTGATGCACCTTTCATTCTTGACTCACGGATTTATCAGTCCCCACTCATCAGTGTGGCTGGGCGCGGAAAAGGGGGATTCATGCACCTCTCGGATATAACGAGTTGAAGAACCTCCAGGCCGCCCGCATGGCTTCCCACTTCCGAGGCGGCATGTTGACTGCCACGCAGGACCAGCCTCTTGTCCTTGGCTTCGGCACTTGAAGATCAGCCCGGACGGCAGTCGCGAGCAACGTCATACAGTAGAGACAGGCGCAGCAATGAACTCGTACAGCATCCGCCTGGAACGCAGACGGATGCGAGATCTCTTCGGCCTGCGGGAACTGCAATATCCTCTTGTGTTTTATGGAGTGCCCTTGCCGACATGGTGCCTTTCAACCATTATTTCGTGATAAGTCTGGTACAAATATGTTTTTGATGCCCCTCGATCTCTGAGTCTGCTGTGCACAAAGAGGGTCGGGTCCGTCTCAGACAAGCAAGGTGCCTCCACGTGGCAGATCTTGCGCGGCTGCTTTTGACAAAGGGCCAAAACTAACGCCACGAGAGGCGAAGGTCCCGTAAGATTGGTTATCCAAGAGCGTGGAGGGATTTATTACGACAAGCAAGAGACCGAGCAGACACACCAGGGGGGCTTACTTGTAGTTGGTGGTTGCGCAAGCGCCGCAGCGACCGGCTCCCCGGAACCCCTCCTGTGCCCTAAAACCGGAGCATGACCATGCCGAAGTACTAATAGGCCTCACAGGTGGCCTTTCGCTGGCCTCTTGGTGGCTCCTTGAGAATGCCCTGGCCTGGTTCGGGGACTGTCCTTCAATTGCCATTGGTAAACATGGCTTTGGCTTCTACCTACAAGTAGAAGCAGCTGACCCCCCATGAAGCGGCCATTTGGCGGTCTGCACGAAAGCTTGAAACCAGTCCCTGATGATCGACAGGACCAACCTTTTCACCCAGTCACCACAGTCTCTTCGCCCAAGGGTGGCTTTTAACCATTTCGCTGATTTAGATACCGTCTACCCTGTACCTGTACAGAGGTATTTGTATGTCTTGCTTTCGTGCTTCTCGAACTCGTGGTGAGACTTTCGGTATCCATTCTTCGCTCGAGTTTTGACTCAATCCAATCTCAACCAATCTCTCGCCATCAACATGGCTCTATAGCACTCGATCGCCTCAAGGACACGAAGTTGCTCCGAGGACTCCTCTTCACAACTGCCAATGTCACCGTCATTTTGACTAGCCGCTGCTTTCTCAAAGCCTCGCTCTATCCCTGAATCCTCACATAGCTTCAAGACAGCTTCGTTCTTCCGACAGAGGTGCCGTTTCAAGATGCATTATGTTCCTGACAGCCAGGCCACAGAGCCGTTGTTGAACAAAGGGTTGGCCCAGCCGATGATTGCGCAACCCGAATATGGAACTCAGGATCCAAACCAAAGCACAGCTTTGGATTTCCCTATGGGTTTGTCCTTGTCCTCTGCTATATTATAACTTCTGATTCTCAACAGCAAGCTGGACTTGGGCAAAACCATACAAGGGCAAGCGATCTCTGCCTCAAACCATTGCCCACAGAGGTTTCAAGGCGGAACACCCTGAGAACACGATGAATGCTTTCAGAGGTGCCGTTGACGTTGGGGCCCATGCCCTTGAGACTGACATTCACTTGTCCAAAGACGGGGTGGTCGTACTCTCTCACGACCCAGATCTGAAACGGTGTTTTGGTAAGAAAGAAAAGATAATTGATTGTGGCTGGGACTATTTGAGTACCCTTCGCACCATCAAGGGCCCTCACGTACCCATGCCACGGCTCCAAGACTTACTTGAATATGTTGCACAACCTGGACTGGAGCATATTTGGCTGCTCCTCGATATCAAATTAGACAACAACTCGGACGACGTGATGAGACTGATAGCAAAGACCCTGGCCTCAGTGGATCCCGGTCAACGAGCCTGGGAGGAAAGGGTAGTGCTCGGAATCTGGGCAGCCAAATTCCTGCCTTTATGCATGAAATACTGTCCGGGCTATCCGATATCGCATATCGGATTCTCGACCATGTACGCCAGGCAGTTCCTGCGGGTGCCGAACGTATCGTTCAATATGCTGCAGAAGAGTCTATTGGGTCCTTGGGGCGCCCGGTTCATGCGGGATGTACGTAGAGCCCACCGCCCACTCTTTGCTTGGACGTAAGTCTTTCTGCTCCCAGAGATTTGTTCTGTTTTGCCTGGGCTGGTCCTCTGTCTTGAATACGCATTGCAGAGCCGCTAACCTGGTGGTGACGGTAGTGTCAATGACCCTAATCTCATGAAATGGTGTATTCAACACAATCTAGAAGGAGTCATTACAGACGACCCTAAAACGTTTAAGAAGATCTGCGACGACTGGGACGACCAAAGAGAGCCAGAAGCCCGAATCACCTGGATTCAATGTCTCTACACGGTGTGGATATGGATCATGATTGCGATTTTCTCCAGGCGTTTCCGGCGGAAGTTTCCAGAGACGGTAGAGCATCTCATGCAACAGAACAATCTGAGCGTCAAGATGGTCGAGGCTGTTGAGGAGTGATCATTCTGGTATGATCTGAAGGGCTACCGGGTAGATCGAGGAAGGAAAATGCTCTCTAATTATGCGACACGATAGAATGGAAATTTCGGGCAGAACATCAGTTCATTTGTAGTCCGTAGAGTTATCTAAGGACTGGCGTTGGTGCAACGAGCGCAGCGTTGAGTGGTGCTCAGCGACGCCTGCGAAACCCCATGTATCTACCCAGTACACCCCAGAGTCCCCCAACCCCCCACGTTTAAGTGACGCGTGAAATCCACGCGCCGTCATCCAAATTGTTATTTCTTTGCGTGCACTCCTTGTTCCCCCCTCTCTGCAGAACAATTCTCTTCACAATGCCGCGCGAGATCATCACCATCCAGGCAGGCCAGTGCGGGAACGCAATCGGCTCCCGATTTTGGCAGCAACTATGTCAAGAACACGGGATCTCGCGGGACGGCAACCTCGAAGACTTCGCGACCGAGGGCGGCGTGGGCGATCGCAAGGACGTCTTCTTCTACCAGAGCGACGACACACGCTATATCCCACGAGCGATCCTCATCGACCTGGAGCCCCGGGTAATCAACAGCATCCAGAGCGGGCCGTACAAGAACATCTACAACCCCGAGAATTTCTTCATCGGCGAGCACGGCATGGGCGCGGGCAACAACTGGGCCGCGGGCTACGCGGCGGGCGAGAGGGTCCAGGAGGAGATCTTTGACATGATTGACAGAGAGGCGGACGGGAGCGACTCGCTCGAGGGATTCATGCTGCTGCATTCGATTGCTGGTGGGACGGGGTCGGGGCTCGGGTCGTACCTCCTCGAGCGCATGAACGATCGGTTCCCAAAGAAGATCATCCAGACATACTCGGTGTTTCCGGACACGGCGACCGGCGACGTCGTGGTGAATCCCTACAACAGCCTGCTCACCATGCGGCGGTTGACACAGAACGCGGACTGCGTCGTGGTTCTCGACAACGGGGCCCTGTCGAGCATTGCTTCCGAGAGACTGCATGTTCAAGAGCCTTCTTTTCAGCAGACGAACCAATTGGTTTCTACAGTCATGTCGGCTTCTACGACGACACTGAGATATCCGGGATACATGCACAATGATCTGGTGGGAATCATCGCATCTCTGATACCTACACCACGATGCCACTTCCTGATGACCGCGTACACGCCCTTCACCGGGGACAACGTGGACCAGGCCAAAACGGTGCGCAAGACTACGGTGCTCGACGTGATGCGCCGACTGCTCCAGCCGAAGAATCGAATGGTGTCCATCACGCCTTCCAAATCCTCTTGCTACATCTCAATCCTCAACATCATCCAAGGCGAGGCCGACCCGACCGACGTGCACAAGTCTCTTCTGCGTATCCGAGAACGGCGCATGGCAAATTTCATCCCCTGGGGCCCGGCTTCCATCCAGGTGGCTCTGACCAAGAAATCCCCGTACCTACCCAACACGCACCGGGTCTCAGGCCTCATGCTCGCGAATCACACGAGCGTTGCGACCCTCTTCCGGAGAATAGTGGTCCAGTACGAGAAAATGCGAAAACGAAATGCGTATTTGGAGCAATATAAGAAGGAGGCTCCGTTCGCGGAAGGGCTATCTGAATTCGATGAAGCAAAGGAAGTGGTGATGGGCCTGATTGGCGAATATGAGGCAGCGGAGAAGGACGATTATCTTGATCCAGAGGCCGGAGAAAAGAAAGTTGATGGTGCTTAGATGGTAACTCGTGAGAAAGTCCACGCGTCCTTGACCTCGAATTGACGGCACGATTGTGAGGAAGTGTTGACATTGTTCACGACGACAATCACCCACCGAGATAACGGCAGCATGTGGGAGGGATAAGTGAGACCATATTTCGAAACGCAGGTAGTGATGTTTCAAGCATGGTTGAGGAGGCAGGGATCTTACTGTGCTGGAGAACACAGCAGTGGGCCGATGTCGCATATTTGGGCTGTTGGGCCAGACTCCATCTTACGCTTTTGGCGGACAATTCCCTTGGACTTTCTAGGATTGGACCAACCAAGCACGGAGGCGACAATGGGAACATGCAGGGTCCAGATGCAGGTGCAGATCGAATCCGTGGCACTCCTCTGGAATTTCCGAGTCGTCCCTTCCAGCACATGACCAGAAAATTGTCAGTTGGAGATGTGGCTACTGTCGGGATGGTTAGTTCATGATAACGGTGGATGCCGTTCGCAAAGAGGCCTGAAGTTGTCAATGTGGCAGCCACAGATACGATGTTTGTCTCGAATCTGAATGGGAAACAGAAGCGATGTCGCATGCCCGCATTTGGAGGAAGCCAACCAGACACGGTCGGAGAGGTCCAGACTAATGACAGCTGCATACCAAGGTTGCCAGAGTTTGTTGATGCCAGTTACAGGTGCCAACAATGCAATTGTGTGCAGGCGGGTTGGTGGTTGGCCAGACTCGCAAGTTATTGTTTTGCTGGAACCTCAGGGGATGGACGGGTCAGCATTGTTTGTCGTGACAGCGACGGGGCGCACGGGCAGGCCAGAGACCCAAGCGCTGAGAGCGACGATCTGGCCCTTCCAGGGGAAAGGCCGCATTGAATGAATTGAGTTGAAAGATTCCGTCACCAGCGTCCGGGTGTGGCGGCTCGAGGGAAAAAGGAACAGGCTTAAGAAAGAAGACAAGCGAGAGGGGTGTGTGTGCAGATGGGCTTACAAGTAGATGGATGATTGATTCATGATTGACGGCTGATGAAGCTGTGCACGGTCACGACTGGTGATGAATGAGGAGTGGGATGTGGCCGTCAGTTCTCCAAAGCTTGTGGCTTCTTCGCTACCAGCACAACGACCTCGCAACCACGGCGTGAGCTTGTATTATTCGGTAGGACTTTTCCAAGCGCCTCTCGCCCTCTCTTCGTGGAGCTGCGACTGCATTCTACGGGTTCCACTTATTTGGCTCTTTGGAACGAGTGGTAATAACGGCACCCTGGAGCTGGGTGTTGGTGGCTCAACCTTTGGGTCAAGTCGGTCCTCTCCCTTGCTGCTCCATGGCTCCGTACATCCATCCGCCATCCGCTCCACTGACATCCACCATCCTCATCCAGATTCCCACGTCGTCGGTGGCCGTCGCCTCAATCCCGAGCAAGCCACTTTTGTCACTAGTCCACCCCATAACCACCTGGCAGCCATAACTAGCCACCTGCTTGCCTCATCTTGTGGCCTTGTCCCCTGGCTTGGGTGTCCATCTGACTGGCAAACTCGCTACTGCCCAGGCAGTACATTACACGACGCATCTGCACCAAACTCCGAACTCGTCGTCTTGTTTCTTTCCTCTATCTCCAATTCACCACTACACCCCAGTCCAACCGTCGCTCGACCCGCCAACACTTGGACGAAACATCATCTTCTTTCTATCTCAACGGTCCTACCGCCTCTTACCACTATCACGCTATCTCTTACAACTACTCCCCAGTTATTGCACTCAGTCCTAGCCTCTCAGCATTCGTCATCGGTCACGAGCCTGGTTCCCTGCACCGCATCCTCCTCACCCACCACCTCAAAGTCGCCTCCAGATAAACCTCGTCTTTTCCCCAACTTAGCTCTATCTCACGTTCACACCATCTCCTACATTCAACATGAATCGCTCACGATCAGGCTCCGCAACCTCCAATACCGGCAAAGACCTCCCGGCCGATAACATGGCTATCCAGGTGCAAATCACCGGCGAAAAGAGTAAGCATGACCTTGCGGACCGCCCGCTCTGTTTGATCAAGAAGAGCTAACCTGTGCCTCGCAGCCATCAAATTGAATGTCCGGCCTGTTCACACCGTCTCCAACGTACTCGAATTCCTCTCTGCCTCGACGAACCTACCTGCCGACGTTCAACTCATGCTTGACGGGAAGCCTCTAGAACCATCTACCACCGTCGGAGAGCTCAAGCTCCAAGAATCACCGACACTCAAATTGTCTTCGCCGCCACGAAGTCCTACGCCCACGGATGCATCACAACCTCTACCACAACCGGCCTCAACAGACATGAAAGTCGCGCCACAGTCAACATCCACATCAACATCGTCCACACCAATACCCTCGGGGGCGGCAACACCGACAAAGAGAAAGTCGAACAAACCGCGGTGTTCCAAGGACGGATGCAAAGCGCCAGCTCAACCGATTGTGGGAGACTGCGGTTTCTGCCAGAAGCGCTTCTGCGGGAAACACCGTATGTTGGAATCTCATAACTGCGAAGGCCTGGAAGACGCGAGAAAAGCAGACAAGGATCGCAATGCGGCCAAGTTGGAGGGAGAACGGACCGTCATGCTTCGCGGCCTCTAGATGAGGGGGCATGGGTGTGAATGATTTAGAGAATCCAGCAACTGTCTGCGCGCGACGGGATTGCAATATCTTTTGTTTTTCTGATTCGGCAGTAGCGTTGCTGCCCGGCGTTTTCACGGTCGGCAAAGGGCTCTATCGTGGGTTTTCTCATGGGAAGGGAAAGGGGGAGAGCGTTCACTTCGGTCTCAGGGTCGAGATGGGCTTGGGCTTATGGGATGTGGAACCGGGAAATCTTGTTGCGGACCATGAATATGGGAAACAGACAATGTGTTTCTGATTGGGGATATTTCTGTCCGAAAGTTCTCGAACACAGCAAGGCTACTCAGGCTGCCTCGGGTTTGTCCCGCTCACTTTGGGGCTTTGTGTTATCCATCTTTTGCTGCACAAACCGTATCCGCCATGGAATGCCCAGGGGGGACATCTACAATATACAGAAGTAGATCAACAGTCACGTTACGTCGCCGTCAGCGTCACCATCACAATCATGATCGCAATCAAGAGAATTCAAACTGAAAAGAAGATCCGTGTCTTTCGCATCCTTGGTGTAGATCTGGATGCGGACCGTGACTGCACATGCATGCGTGGGCTTTGCGCTGGTCCTTGTGCTGTGCTTGTATTTCGCGCCGGGGAGATTATCGAGATATCTATCTGGCTCCAGTAGGGAAAGAAGAGGGGCGGTCCAGTGTACTTTTTACGCGCGGTACTTGTAGTTGTACTTGTAGTTGTGGTGTATAGACGCCGCGAGGGAGGGATACTCTAGACTCGTCTGTCTGTCTGTCTCTGTTTATTTATTTGTCTGTCTGTTTATTTGTTGTTTGGTTGATTGGTTTGCTGGTTATATGTGGAGGAATGCTAAATGCCACGAGCATGCAAGCAAACGGGGGATACTGACACCGACAGCGGCACCGGCCAGCGATTTGAAAACAAAAGAGAGAAAAAGAAAAAGAAGAAGAAGAAGAAGATGATGATGATGAAAGAATGACGGGAGAAAAAAAAGGGAAGTGCCATTGTAAAAACAAAATGCAAAAAGGAAATTCTCAGATCGCCTTGTGTTCTTCCGCTCTTCCAGGCTCCCCTCGTCTTGCGTGATTCCATGTTCTTTTTTCGTTGCGCTTGCCCTATCTCTACTCGCAAGATTGCAAAATGTCGAAATTGCGCTTCGCCATCGGTAGGTACCTGTGTATCTCGAGAGATCCGGTCATACTATAAGGGCAATACTCCTCTAGGAGCGAAAAAAAAGTCTTCTCCGTTGGACAACCTCTTCAAAGGGGTTACAGCTGCCTGGTTACAGCCGTCTCTGCGCACCCAAAAACGTCCCAAACCTATTCAGAATTCCCACGCCCAGCCTAGGGCGTAGTCTCGCGATTCTCCCAGAAGTTGAAGGTGCTGATTTTTTCCGCGCTCCACGCAGCGTTTCCGCCGTTATTGTTGAGAGGACCGTTGCCCTCCTGGAACCTACCCGCGTCTCTCTTTCGCTTGCAATACTTGCGGGCGCACGTCTCCACGGCTTGCCAATCGTCTGCATTGAGATAACTCTTCACCGATTTGCCATCTTCATGGAGTTTGCAGAATGCTTGACGGACCCAGGTCAGACAGTTGAACGCCGAGTCGTCCCCAGGAATCGGGAGTTCTCGAAGTATGGAATGAAGGCGCTCTTCGTCTGTGACCTTGCAGACGGCAACGCGGACCAGACCGCTTTGGGCAATGGGGTTTGAAGGGATATCTTGTTCCTCGTAAAAGTGTCTGTGGGTGTCGTGGTTGAGGTGGGCGACGTGGTAGCGAATTCCCTTGTCGGCTCGCCGCGCAGTTTGGGGCCCGACGACGATAGACCAATGGTAGGAGTCGCAGCTGAGGGCGCTGCGAAAGGAAGAATTCGTCGACGAGGCACTGCGCGGATAGAGGACGATGTAGAGTCGAGGCTTGTCCTTTGTCGGCTTGAGCGACGAGGTGGACGAGAGAGATCGAAGGAATTGAGGCTTCGTCGAGGTCGGCGCCATCGCGCTCCAGCAGCTTACATTGGGTCGAAGTCAATTATCCTCAGAACAGGGGCAGATCCGAGATGAGAGACATGATACGTAGCCTGCAGTCTGCCCTGCCAACGCTGTTTGGGAACTGTACATCGGGAAGGCACGAGGCATCCTTCTCCGGTGCAAAAGAAGGATTGAACAAGCGAGGAAGACAGTTGGGTCGCTTGTGCCACTCGGCTAAACCATTGTTGGTCCGGTCCCAGCCCACCGAGGCATGAAGGCGGAAGTTGGTTGTCGGTCGTGCTGAGTGAGTCTATCGAGACAAATTGGTGACCCTTTTCGACATCATCCTGCTTGTACTGTACCAAGTATGCACACCAAAGACATGGCCTGGCCAAACTTCATTAGCGACCCGAACGGCCCGGACAGGTGACGAAGTCAGACCAAAAAATATTCACGTGAGCTGCCATTGCTCTCTGTTGGGCTATTGTTACTCGATATAGGACACTGTGGCAACCCCCGTTTTCCGTGATGACGAAATGGGTCAGGTTCAGATTTTTGGTTCGCTGATGTTCTCCTCCGTACCTCGTACTCGTATGGCGACTCTCCCATCCTCGCCATGGGGTGAGCAGGAACAGATCTGAGTAAGTCTGGGCGAATGGTTTGGTTTCTGCATCTGCTGATGCCCCAGGCTTCCAGATTGATCTTACCACGTTGAACCGGCCTCATGAGAGTTTTATTTGATCTGCATTTTCTTGTTGCAGACTCGGCCGCCACCGAGCTGCCTGAGCCACAGCATCCCACGACAAACTGGCCGCAGGATGACGAAGTGGCAGAAGAAAGGGAACAAAAGTGACAAGACAACGAATACCGTGGGGAGTCAAGCCACAGCTTGTGGCGGTGCAGCATCTGATGACGATGCATAATACTGGGGTATGCCATGCAATCTCCTCCTGCTGGTGTTGATTGGCCAAGATTTGTGCAGAGTGGAGAGAGAAGGCCGGAAAAAAGGCTCGTTGAGGGACGATTGGCGCTGAGACAGACGTCATGGGTGGCTGCAATCAAGGACTTCCGTGAATTGCGTTGGACCGTGCCTAGAAATGGTGGAAAGGCCCCCCCAGGCGCTACGGGCTAGTTTCTGCCCAGCGCCGAAATGGCAGGATGATGCCAAATGATCTTTCCTGGCGTGCCCTGTTGGTAATCCGAGAGTGTCACTGCCAGGTGCCCCGGTTAAGTCACTGCCCTCTCCCCCCCCCCAGCCATCCACCATCCGCACGACTCATCTAAAAGTGCCTTGTACTTCCCTCATCGCGCAATCTTCCTCTCTCACCATCATCCGTGTCTCCAACCACTGTCGCTTTTTGCTCGCAAGCTTCGCATTTTACGTCCATTAATCGACCAATACACGTCTCTGCACAACTCCCCAAAACTAAGTCAACATGCCTTTCACAGCATCGTAAGTTGCTGGACTCAACTTCCGTCGCCTTCCGCGCAGTGCGCCCGTAGAGCTGACAATATGATTCCAGCGACATCTGCAAGATTATTCTTGCCATCATCCTCCCTCCCCTCGGTGTCTTCCTTGAGCGAGGCTGCAATGCCGACTTCTTCATCAACATCCTGTTGACCATTCTGGGTTACATCCCGGGCATCATCCATGCTCTGTACGTTCAAGACGCGCCGTAGCAGTCACGCGCTGACCAGAAGCTAACAACAATGTAACAGCTACATTATTCTGAAGTATTGAACGATGAGCATCTAGTGTCATTCTTATCCGCAACCCGCCCAAACTCCCTTCCTCTTCTGCCGAGGACCGACACAACCTCGCCTCTTGATATCCCCCACCTGCCTTTTGATTCTCAGAGCATGATACAGAAGACATTCCTCGTTATGCCCACAATATCATTTCGGCACCATATCGGTTTCACACGAAAAGCACACAGATTCTGCCGGCATGAAACAGGGCATTGAATCTGGATAGGGTGGTGTGACCTGGGCTATTGGACCGCTTGTTTGCTGGACGGATGGGAGCATTTCCGTCCAACTTCGGCGCACAAAGGTCGATTTTGCTGCACGTGGTTTGGGTGCAAACGTCTTAATTCAGCATAATGAGACACACTTAACATCCCATTCCTCATGATCAATTTCTAATGTTGATGCCTTGGCCCATCCGTGCGAAAGAGCTCGCTTCTACTAGTCTAACAGCCTTGCGGGAGATGGTGAGACCGAAAATGAACTTCGGAACTGCCGTGTCCGAGACCCCTAGATCCCAACCTGGAGATTGTTCAAGGCTGTGATCCAATCCGACCCCCATTTTCAACGGATAATGTGCGTCATCCAGGACTGGATCAAGCGACTGGCAATTTAAACCCCCTAGACAATCAGGCAACTGCCCATGTTGTCCTGAAGCACGATGACAAAAACCCCATTTGCGGATAGGTGGTGTGATGACGCCAAGGAGATATGTTCCTGCCGGTAGAGAGGAGCCTTTGCTCAAAGCCGGGATAGTAGGGAGCGTTTACATCGGACAGAAAAGGGATGCGCTGCAAGCAAAAGGACACTGGAAGTGATATAGGCAATAGCCTTGTGGGAGAAATATGCTGACGATCCAATCTGCGTGGAAGCGCCCTGCTCGCGCCCTGATAGCCGCCGCTCATATCCGAGCCTTGCAGGCCATTTCCCCATCCGGGCCTGCCAATGGCGCCAGGGGAACGTACGGTCACGTGAAAGCCCCCCTCGTCGGCTAGGAGAACCCCTAACCGCTGGCTTCAGCGACTATGCTTCATCCAATGCTTCACATTCGACCACGTCCACCATGATGCTTTGCAGGTTTCAGGCTATATGGCCTATCGCAGATCAATATTCCAGCCGCCATCGTCATGCTTCTGGCAAAATGCCCTTTCTCAGGGACAAAAATTCTCTGTCCACCCCGTTCGAGGGGTGAGGTAAGGCCCAAGGGCAAACTCAACAATAAAAGAAGCCCCAGATCCCCCTTCGCGCCGCATATTTGTCGCAAGGCCTGCGCATTGTCCACTGTCGTTGAACATTGATACTCTATTCCGCTGACTGCTGCTTGCTTGCTTGCGTGTCGTATAGCCACCGTTCACAGAAATATTTCCGCAACCGGCCACTTTGAGAGCCATGATGCCTCAACGATGACAAAGGCCAACCAGTGGACATGTGTGCCCATATGTGGATGTCCCCGAGTCCGTCGTCGATTCTTCACGATGGCGACCAGCTCCGTGCCCGACAGGCGTCGACAAATACCTGCCTCCCTCCGTCCCTTCTCTCCATTGTTCCAGCCTGCGCAGTCAATTGTATCCAAAACTTCGCGAGTCAGAATTACCCTGGAGCCACTTGCGCAAATACCTCAGATATCACATATCTCTGCATACAGCCTAACGTATCTGGGCTTACAATCGGTGAGGGTTCTGTACAGTGCGTGGTATCTTCCTGTACGGGACAAGATCAGAAGGACGTGGATGTGTACGGTGTTTGCAACTCTATCCCAGGAGCTGAACCGAACACCGCTCGAACCATCACTGCTACCATAATCGGGCCTTCCACAACCACATCTTCCACCATGGAGAACTTGCCCGCTACGATAGGTAATCCGACTTCAACAGAGGAGGTCAGCACCGTTGTGATGGCAACAGATACCCCAACATGGATAATAGAAACATCAGCGGCAGCACCGACGACGTCTGGGGATTTACCTTCGGCGGCAGACGCTCCATCGGGCACTATAATGGGCCAAACCACAAGCATGTCTACTGGCTCCGACGGAGCGTCAGGAGCTGTTGCGGTACCGGAACACACTACCTCTAGGTCTAGTCTCACTACACCTCAAATTGCAGGAATTGCCATCGGCGGTGCTGCTCTTGCTGTTGTCGTTTTTGGCTTACTGGTTCTTCTGGTCTGGATACGCAAGCGGCGCCGACAGCGACGGCGCAGCCAAAGACGCTCACGGCTGGTTGAACCGTCATCCCCTGTCAACCATCAGAGCCCTGACAGAAAGCCTCCTCCCATTTTTGAAAACGTTGAAACTTCGCTCACAGTGCCCAATACTCAGAGTCGCACTCAGAGTCGCACTCAGGGTCGCTTCTATGCTCCCCAGCAGTCAATGGAAGAAAAGAGGAGAAGCTTTTGGCGGAAGAGCATCAGACCAGAAGAAATAGGTATAGCAGTCTCACCAAAAATGCCCGGCGAACACTCCCCTGTAAGCACATCCTCTCAGCAGAGCTTCTCTCGGCTACTACCTATCGCGCCTGCAGTTCTGTGGCCCGCACCGCTAGATGTTGAAGCTACAAGGGAACGAAGGAGATACACCCAACGACCCGTCAGTGATGCCACCGAGTTTGACGATGAGCCAGAAACGAGAAGGCAAGAACCTGAACGAATTTTAGTCGACAATCAGCCATTCATATTAGAGAAACCGCCGTTGGCGAAACGGCCAAGAGGGCCACCGCCGAATCTGAGGTTGCCTGCGTTACCGGAAAGCCCCCCTAAAGCTGCTGGACAGACAGCTAGAATCCCATTGACCCCAACTTACGACAACGGCAACGTTGATTTATCCTCGCCACGCCGCAACTTTCAATCGCCCACCTCACAATCACCCCTTCCAGTTGCCGAACACAAGCTTCCCCCGTCATCAATGTACGCAAATAGGAGTGTCTTGCGAAAGAAGCCTCCAGCCAGACTCCCTCTTCGAGTCATCAATACTCCGCCTGGAGAGCCTCTCATGCAGCCACGGAATCCTCCCTTGCCACCACAAATAGCGCCCCAACCTCCGGCAGGTAGAAGACTGATGACTGTAGGCCGTGATCTGGAAAGGCAAAGTTCCGTCAGCTCCATTTACACTGAAATTGAAGAAGATACGACACCTCCTGAAGAAGCAAACAAGCAACTTGGACTGAGAGTGAATCCACCGACACCTTCCGTCATCCCTGCTGACATTCGTGGCGTCTCGCCCGCGCAAGAGAGCCCTATTAAGGATTTGAGATATCCTCAAATTCCTCGTTCGGCCGCCATATCCAGGCAAGCACAAAGGCCCGCTCAACTTCGAGCAAGCCTCAATCCAGCCCCTGCTTCAGCCTTCGTACCGGTGGCAGCTTCACCTCTTCGACCGACGAGGGATCAGCTAGTCCACGCCGAACTAAGCTTCATGCAAACAGATACCACCTCCTCCGATGGATATCTGTCCGATGAGATTATTGAATTTCCAATCCCTCCTTCGTCGAAGACCCACAAACCGAGCATAACAAAGCTCAGAGGCAATCCGTCTAGCGGCAACAGGGGTCCCCCTATGGAAGACCCTGGCCTATCCTTGAATGAAGCCTTAAGTACCAGTACCAGCAATGTGAATGTCGTCGTTCCGCAACGGTCACCGTCTTCCAAGGCTCGACTGACGCCAAGCAAGTCAAGCAGCGGTGATTTGTATCTGACCGTTGAAATTTGAGAGGGGAACGGCAAGGATGTGCCATTCAGAAATTGTATGACTAAAGACATTTTTTTTTCCCGACGTGAGATGATGCTTGATCAGTTTCATGACATCTACACGATGCATAGCATGAAAGCCCAGAGCTGTATGAGAGAAGATCGGTAGAGCAGCCCACATGAACATTTAATCTTCAAGAATCCGCCTTGTTACCACTATTCCAATTGGAAATATGGCACTATATGAGTGATTCAACATCTTGCTATCTTGCCACGCTTGATTCCCTCTTCTGCGCTACCTGCTAATATGAGTAGAAATCAAAATTTGAGAATGCTCTTGGGAGGAAGAGTAGACGTCTGACGAAAAAAGGTTCCACCGGAAATTGGCCTTGATCTTGCCTTATTCCAGCCGAGGGCCACGGTTGTCAGACGAAACATTTTGTACGCCAAACAGCTCCAGTGAGCTACAGGGTTGACCTGGACACTCTTTTAACCCCATCATCATCAAAGGGACAGCAGGCGAGAAACTCCCCGCTAATCTCGCTGGGCGTCTTTCCATCCCATTCACTTGTCTCAACGTTGCTCCCCTTCTCGGTTTTGTGTTTCGAAGCGTTGTTCTGCAGCAGCTCAAAGGAGGACAGTCACTCCTCTACTCGATACATAACAACCATGCTCAGCGTGCTGGTTCGTTCTTCTCCGAATAGAACGTTAGTCCGTATCAACGGGTCCAGGCAGCTCGGCTTCAAACGGGGTCTGAGCAACGCACAAGATGCACGGCCGATTGCATGGCGAAGAGTCCCTTCCGGGGGGCCCACGTTTCGACGAGTCCGACTACCACCGACACTATCAGATGAAACTGCTATCTCTTCTTCATCCGGAGAAGAGTCTCCAGCTCAAATTTCCCCTTCGTGCAGCACACCGAGGCAGCTCGGAAACACTGCGAGAAGGGTTGTACGAGCAGGTGTGACATGGTTGACCAGGGATCCAAGCCTTGTGGTGAGTTAGAAAGGATGATATTTCCTATTGTACACGGGAGAATCCCTCCTTCTCCAACGTGATCGAGCTCTATCTGATAGAGCCCAGGACCTGGAACAAATACGACCACAGCTACACAGATACTGTAACGATAAATCGCTGGTTAAATTCTTGGTTCTATTGGTGACACCGTCCTTGTCTTGTCTCCTCGGGCCAGAGGTCTTCCTTCGGCACATTCTACCTTTGCTGTACGAAGGCCGTGCCTCGGGAAGAGGAAAACCCATTGAGACAACTATAAAATGCGTCTCTGCTGTGGTCGACGCACTACCCGTCCCTCCTGAAACTCACGCCAACCGAGATGGAAATCCCACAAAGGTTTCCAGTACGGAAGGACTTGCACTCTTCATGAGCTCTACGATTCCTGGCGGTCGGTCCGTTCACGCTCTATCAGGAGTCCAAGGCGTCGATGCAGAAAACAAGTCCCCTGCGACGTTGCAATTCTGCTCTGCCGGCGGACCTGCTTCGTCGGCACAGGCATTAGACCAGAAAGCCGTGGTACGGCACGTCACTTTACCAGTCGCCAACACCATTTTCGTCAACGGACAACGGACAACGCTTTTCCAGGATGTCTGGAAGATCAAACTCGGTGAATCTGAGGAGCCAGCAATCAACTATGTTGGCAGAAAGAACCTCGAATCGTTCCAATTGAACCTGTATTGCCCTCCAGACAATTTTGTCAATGACGGATCTGCTCCGCTTCAATCATTGACGAAGCCTAGAAAGGTAGTACGATCCATGGGGAACGTCCTTCGTCAGATTGAGGTCGAGGGCGTGGCTGTCCCTGCCTCACAAGAACTCGAGAACGCCGTTTCAACATATATCAAATCGAATCCTGCAAGCACCGCCCGCGGTCCACTACTTGTCTTTGCTTTGATCCGTCCACCAGGGACATCATCACTTGAGGCGGAAGCAAAGGGGAACAACGGGAGTCAGGAATCGAATTCACTTAAGCCTTTATGGCAAGGTGCACAGCTCTTCAAAGTGTCGGGCGGCGGAGGAGGTTGGGGAAAGAGACAAGGCCTTCTATCACTGGAAGGAGCTGTGGATTTTGAAACCAGCGAAGCCGCGTCGTCATCGCTTGTGTTCCCGGATTTGGATAGCGATCAAAATATTGTGCACGAGCTGGGCTCGCGTGGCATAGTTCCACGGGGCAGCACGGTCGAGTTTCTGGTGTGTTCTGCAGACCCTGCGAGCAAGGACAACTCAGGAGCCTCACATTTGAAGCCTGCATCTTCGCAGTCGACGAACGGCGGCACGACAGTTGTGCTGGGTACTGCCACGGACCCCGAATCCCAGGATTGCCTGCAACGAGACCCAAGTGTGGCAGACACCGGGGTAATATTCTTACCTGATTATTTCGGCATGGTCTCTTATGGAGGCGCTGGTCTGGGCGTCGACGATTTCCACATGTCAACTCGACAGAATTCAACAGCGATTTCGCGGACGCGTTGTGATGTGCCAAATGTTCGCTTCATCCTTCGCGGCGTGGGAACTCATTCACAGGCACGTTCTAAAGAAGAGGAGTAGAGAAATTGAAGACAAATCAGGCGAAGACGCTGTCTCAGCTTCCGAAGCAAGGAGGTCAGTCGAGTTCTCAACTACGGTCTTGTACGGGATCAAGGCTTGACTGGGCTCTGAGACAGACGCCATCGAGTTTTCTCTGCAATGATTCGAAGTCCCCACACCCACACAGGGGAATCCCGAGACACCGTTCAGCTGATATCCGTCTTGGTGGAAACATGACCAGGGATGTGATGTGCTCACGTCGCCATATTATTCCCCAAGGCAATCGCGGATGTCGCCATCAGTCTAAGAACACATGTTCGAGGCCAAAGTTGAGCGGGGAGATGACCAGCCAGGGAGGGTCATGACCTTGACTGAAGAACATCCACGTCTAGTTCCTCCATGACCTGCAGGACGACACCCAGAGATTCCATAAAGCCATTCACAGCAACTCGGAGCATGCGATTGGTAGTTGCGTTATACTGGGTGCGAAGAATGGTCTTGTGGGTATCTGGTAATCCATCATCGCCGTCTCCTGCATGACCATTGACAACATCTGGGCTGACCAAAGTGAACTCTCGACGAACCAGTGGGGACAACTCGGCATCGACTTGCAGGGCGCGCATTGCGGTGGAGGCGAGGCGATGGTTCAGGAGAGGGACATGGATGACTCTGTCAGGCAGGGTCAGTGTTTGCGCAGGGAGCTTGGTGAGAGAGCGCCACGCACAATGAGCATGGGAACTCGGACTGGGAGGTGTCCATCGCCATGTCATATGACACTATGATGCATCTGGCGAGGCTGAAATGTCTCGAGCGTGCACTGAAGCCAGTCTCAGACGAGGATGGAACGGCTGTGAGGTTGGCGCAGTTGAGTTTGGTGGTGGGGGGGCAATGCCTGGGCAATGGTGGGCGAGGGAAGATTCTTCGAAACCCCGATAACATGGTTGCTGGGAAACGAGGATGCAGGGGCCGAAAGTAAACATGACGATGGGAACCTGGGAATCTTGGGCCTGTGACCCCTTCACAGTTCCCACCAACTCCCCGTTTCATTTCATTAAGTACCAAGTAGTACCCAATATCCACAAACACATACTTGCGCATACTCCATTGCTTCCTCCTACAAACCACCACATCTTTACCCTTTGTCGCCCTCTTCCTCCTCATCTCATCGCCTTCACGCTGCTTAGCTGTATCTCTCATGCTACGTCTGATTCGTGATATGTGGCACAGTTAGAGAGACATTCCCATCTCCATCGACCACTGACAGCGTCTCTTTCTGGGATCGAGCGCCCAAGCCGGTCAACATTTGCCATCTGCAACGCTGAATACCTGGTAAAGTCCAATCATTCTATTGGCGGCGATCCCTCGTCAGCTGTGAGCAGTGATGGCGCCGTCGTTGGTGCATCCTGCCAGCTATGGTCAGGTCATCGAATACATCCAAGGTAAATAGACGTGAAACAAAACAATGCCCCTCAGTGCAATGCGCATCGCTGACATTGCTCTCCTGAACAGATCGCCTTTACCTAGCATCTTACATGCAAGCACCCAACGAGCACACTCCTTTCCCATATCCCACCCAGGCAAAGAAATCGCCGCAAAAGAAGTCCTCCAAAGCGCTCTCAGGTCCTACTCCTGCCACTCTGCGACCTCCTCCAGTCTACTTCACCATCGACGACACTCTTCTGTACAATGCCTTTCACGCCGACTTCGGTCCCCTGCACATTGGCCATCTCTATCGATTCGCCGTTCATTTCCACGAAATCCTGGGTGACCCGGCCAACAACGACAAAGCCGTCGTCTTTTGGAGTAGAGCCGATGCCAGGAGTCGCGCAAACGCTGCATGCCTGGTCGCATGCTACATGGTGCTGATCCAGGCATGGCCTCCTCACCTGGCTCTTGCCCCCATCGCTCAAGCCGATCCTCCATACATGCCCTTTAGAGACGCAGGATACAGTCAGGCGGATTTCATTCTCAATATCCAGGATGTTGTATATGGCGTCTGGAAGGCCAAAGAAGAAAATTTGTGTCAGCTCAAGGAGTTCAATCTCGAAGAGTACGTGGATTGACTATGCTCGGAAAGATGAAGCTAACATGCCTAGATACGAGCGATTCGAACGAGTTGATCAGGGAGACTTCAACTGGATCTGCCCCCAATTTGTTGCCTTAGCATCTCCTCAATCTGAGCCCACCACACCTATTCCCATCTCATCTCCAGCCTATGCGACACTTCCATCTTGCATCCCGGAGATCCAGCGTGCTAGAATACCCCAACCCTTCAAAAACGTCCTCACGCATTTCGTCCAACGGGACGTTGGGTTGGTTGTGCGACTCAACTCCGAGCTTTATTGCCCAACGTACTTTACTGCTCTTGGTATTCAACACATTGATATGATCTTTGAGGATGGAACCTGTCCAGCCCTTCCAATTGTCCGCAAATTCATCAAGCTGGCCCACGACGCCATTGCGAAGAGTAAAGCCATTGCCGTTCATTGCAAGGCCGGTCTCGGGAGAACCGGGTGCTTGATTGGAGCTTATTTGATCTATCGCCACGGCTTCACCGCAAACGAAGTTATTTCTTTCATGCGGTTCATGCGTCCTGGAATGGTGGTCGGCCCGCAACAACATTGGCTCCATCTGAACCAAGGTCAATTCCGGGAATGGTACTTGGAAGATCAATGGAAGGCAAAGATGGAACTTAACAAACCCTCAACGCCTCGCGCCATGTCAGCGAAAACACCCATGCGTATTCCAAGTGGAGCGCAGACTGCAACTCCGGACCGTTCTAGTGCCCAGAGAACTGCTCTGGGTGAAATCGATGGCAACGACGTGTCGAACGCTGCCGCTTATCAGGATGAAAACCTTCCAGCTCCCACACCGGGTCAACCCCGAAAGTATGCTCGAATGGATCCTCGAAGTCATCCATATGCTCGATCAACTTCGGGTACCATGCGCGTCAATGGCAACAGGTCTGAGAGCGAAGTGACAACGGTCGAGACACATCGACACAGTACGAATGGTGCAGAAAGCGAAGAGGAGCTCATTCTCCAGCGAGCAGCATCGCGTCGAAGTCAAAGCAAGAGTCCCAGCAGCAAGGGTAAAGCTCGCAGCGTTTCATACACTACCACCACGACAACCATGACCAAGACCTTCGATGTGGGCGACACGATGGGTATCTATGAGGATGATGGTGATATCAATTTCCAAATAGAGGATACCAATGCCATCTGGGATGAGCTCGCCCAGGAACAAGAAAATCTCAAACTGAGCACGGTGAGTGAGAAGGGCCCAAATGCAGCAGGCCGACCAAAGACTCCACGATCTGCCAGTGGAATGGGTGCCATGAGTGTTTCAAAGACCCGATCGCTGAGGGAATCACCACGCCGCAGCGGCGTTGAGGATAAGATGAAGGTCAGGAAGACAAGTGGACGTGTGGGCAGTGCCAGTCACGGACCAGTTGGTGTTAAGCGGTAGTGCTGCGTATTTCATGACCAGCTGAACATTTCGTTATGACCCTACTGCACGACATGATGGTGGACAACCGCGTCCTAACTGGGACACCGGCAACAGCGACAAAAGAGAGGCATTGGCGAATTATGGAGTCACTCATTCCAACAGGAGACATGTACATTGACATCTGGACTGCTACGAATGGCGTGGTTATGGTGTAACCTCGAACTGAGCATGAATCTTGACGGCCACGAAAATGTTGTGTATTCCCTGGACCACATGAATTGGACTCAGCATGATATGGCAAGGCGCAGACAGGAACAACAAGGGACCAAAGACGGATGATTCTGGCTAAGCAACGATAATGGGCGGGTTGGCTGGTTGATATTGTGTGGTGTGCGCGTCCTTTGCGACGACGTTGACCCTTCTGGTACGGAGTACTTTGTGTTTCAACTTGAATTGCTAGCAAATGGTATTCATATTGTGATTGAATTCGGATACGCTGGTCACCGTCTGAGGGTATGTGCAGTGTCCTTTTCGGACTCGTGACGCATCGCCTGCCATGACAGCCTACTTAGGCCGCTCGTAGCCACCTAGGTGCTTTCTTCGTGCCGGGATAGATGCCCATTGGTGTATAAAATATTATGTACTCAGATTACCCGAGAGCGAAAAACCTTGTTTACCACATACCTAGTACGGTTTGATCCTCAGAACACCTCGCCAGGTCACTAGCACGGCGTCCTGTAACCTGTAAATAGCATCAATAGATTAATCGTCGTCGGTCATCAAGCATCTAGCACTTCTCGTCCCCGCGGACTCTCCTAGTGGTATACTTGACATATTACTCCCACTTCATTCCGAGGACGAGCGTTCCAGTCCAATATGACCACGTCATTACCGCCCTTGCGATGATGTAGAAACTTTGGATGTGCAAGTGCTTCGCCCAAGCAGGCGGTGCACCACCAAACGGCTGCGCAATCCATAGCCATGTCACGTGTGCGTAGCCATGGTAGACGTAAGTCGTGGGCGAAGAAGATGGTCTGCAGTTGCACCCACAACATTGGGTTGAGGAGCTTGTTCCTCCAGGGGAGTAAGGCGACAGCAAGAATCACGAAGAGAGCTCTTAGCCACCAGGGCGTGGAAGACAGCGGCGGGAAGATGGCTCTATCGAGGACGGCGCCGCTGCCGTTCTGCCAAAGAGCATGATCCTTGGCCACCATGTCGATAGTGAGAGGAACTTCTGGATCGCCCCCGTCTACTCGACTCCACGACACGCGCTGACCAGGCGCAAATCTTACCCTCATGCCCTGGGGGCCAAGCTTATCATAGCTGGCCCATAGGCCAGTGCCGACGGAGACGTGCGGGAGCCGGACAGACATTTCACGCTTTCGCAAGTGGCGGCGACAGTGATAATAGTGGCGTTGGCATTGGCATTTGTTTCGGAAGGGCGCCAGTGGGGCGGCATCGGCCAGGTGCCAGACGGCGGGATAGTGATGCGAATTGCATCTGCAGAAGTTGGCGCCGAGGGTGAATGAGGGAGCAAAGACAGATGTAACGGCATGCGGAAAGGCGAGGTTGATTGTTGTGGAGGAGACGTCCATAGAGGTAGTCCTGAACGGAGGGGGTCTTGGCGCCAAGACTGTAATTTTCGAAGGGCAAGTAAGGCGAATTTTCAATCCACAAATCCGAAATTTCTCTTGTTGGCATGGTTTCTGATCCCTCTCCGCATCCAAAAGTTCCTCTCTCGTTGATTGCAGAATTCACTTTCCAAAGGCGCAGGATATCGACCTCTTTGCGACCTCGAATTTCCCCCAAAAGAGGAAAAATCAGAAATGGCACCATCCGTCAAAGTAAGTTCCAATACTCTCGGGTTGCACACGCGCTCGGTCAGTCAGTCAGTTAGGTGAAATCGACCGACCGACCGAGCGACGACCCAACCGAACCGAACCGCTTTGCTGGTCCCCATGTTACAATACACGATGGGGTGCAGTAGGCTAAGGCTTTGTTCTCCCTCCTTCTTTGGGGGGAGGTCCTTGTGAGATATAGGCTCGTGGTACGGCTCAGAAGGTCGCGATGAAGGGCAAGACCGGCGCGAAGGGTGGGAAGGTCACGAACAAGGTATGCAGTTCAGCCAGCACCGTCGATGCGTGAACGAGAACCTCTGCATGTAAAATACACACAAACGCATTGTCATCCACATCCACGTCCGCATGTGCATGCGCATGTGGATGTCTGACCCTATTCACTCAATACAAGACCCAAAGCAGACGATCAGAACGCGTGAGTTCCATGCTAACGTTCTGTGGCGGGAATAGTACACAATCAACTGCTCGCAGCCCGTGTCGGACAAGATTTTCGACCTCTCGGCGTTCGAAAACTTCCTGCACGACCGCATCAAGGTCGAGGGCCGGACAGGCAACCTGGGCGACAACGTCGCCATCAGCAAGGTCGGCGACGGCAAGATCGAGGTCGTCACCCACATCCCTTTCTCCGGCCGCTACTTGAAATACTTGTAAGCCAAAACCCATCCCAAAAAAAAGGATAAAGAGGCGATCCTGCACACACACAGCCCTACACAGAACATCTTTCCTCTGTCCATCCGTCTGTCCGTCCCTACCACAATCTATTTCCCTGTGACAACATCACGTTATGCAATGTGGAACAGTTCCATCAACTAACGAGACTTTGTATGTGCGACCAGGACGAAGAAATTCCTCAAGAAGCAACAACTCCGCGACTGGCTGCGCGTGGTCTCCACCTCCAAGGGCGTCTACGAGCTGCGCTTCTTCAACGTCGTCAACGACGAGGGCGATGAGGATGAGGACTAGATTCACCAGCCCCTCCCTCCTTCCCTTCCTTTGGTGTGGCTCGTATTGAGACCTCGAAGCCAGGGACAAGACATCGGTCGCGCAGGGCACAAGAAAGACATCAGCCATACGCGGCTGTGCAAGGAAAAAAGGCCAGGGGACCGAGAAATGTTCTGGGAAATGAGAGATCGAGGATGAGTCTACGGAATGGGACAGGATGCGACGGATGAGATGTGCCTACGTGGTTGAGTGTCATGTCAGACCCGGCCCGGCTTGGAGAAGGGATGGATATTTTCTCCGGATCTGGACTGGAATCAAGGCCGACGAACGTCTTCTGACCACGAGCCTGCGCCTTTCTTGATGGGCTTACCCCTTCTTCCTGTCTTCGAGACCGTAATGGGACCTTTCATGGCAATGCCATCCCGTTTTCCACACCCGTTCAAGGGACACATCAGAGATGGTGCCACCCGATGCGTTCATGACTGCCCTGTCTTAGTGACGGAAATGGGTCCTTACCTGAGCCCTTTGAAAATCTCAGTGCAAACGAAGATTAGTTCTCGTAGCTCCTCGCTCAGTGCGTGTTCTCAGCCACTGCTACTGCTACTAACTAGCCTTGCCCTTCCCCGTCGCGGTCGCCCGGCTGAATCCGTTGATAGAGATGAATCTGATACCTCATATTCTCCAGCTCAACGGGGTACCTTCGGGACTGTTGCTGGCTCAACCTGAACCATCTCGAATCGTCAGAGACACATTTCCTCCACCTACTTGTACTGTTCACCTCGTCTTTCTGCTTGCCGGCGACTTCCAAAAGCGCGTGGTCTACCAACCACTTCATCGGGTAGCGCCTTGTCTGGGTCTTCGCATCTCCTCGTCCCTCTGCGGCACTGAATCCGGACCCCATTGTCACTTCAGAGTAACTCCCTGGACTATCCACGACCAGAAGCCAGGAACCCGGCGACATGGCATCTGTAAGCGCCAGGAGGAACGCCGTCGTCCTCGCAAGGGAGGCCGAGAAGAGCTCGTTCAGCGTGAACATGATTGTACAGAAATGCACTTGACACAGGGTACTGTGCAGCAGGCCAGCCTCTTCCATGGCGAGGATGTCATGTTGCGTAAACCGGACGGAGAATGCATCGCTCGTAGCGAAGGCTTTATTCACCGCTTTGGCGCTCTCAGAGACATGACGTGATAAGGGCGGCGGCGTGAACAGTGCCTGCTCTAATTTCTCAAGGCAGGTTGACCAGTCTGCGATATCGACGACGTGGACGGCCAGTCTGCCCGATGGGAGTGAGAGTGTTCGTGCTGCAGCCGCACATGCAACCACCTCTGCGCCTCCGCCACCGCCAATGCAAACTACGTTACAAGCGCCGCTCGCACGTGGAAGATGTGCCTCTTTCAACACAGAATTCACATTCGTACTCGGAGCCGTGGCCGCAGTTTCGGCGGGTCCATGCCACACTCTCTGCAAGTCGTGGTGCAGGAAAATGCTCGTGTAGCCAAGGGCGCGGCTGGCACTCCACCTGAGTGCATATGCGTCGAGGTATTCTGGTTTGGCAAATGCACGAGCAAAATCGCGCTGGTATAGGTGGCCTTTGACCTCCTGGATGGTGGATTTCAACTCGAGTTGCTCGTGGTCGAATGGAAACGCCCGTCGAAATACGTCTAGAATCAGCTGCTGTAATTCAGCTGGTAAATACCAGCCACCAGGCTCAGGATGCTGTGGTGCTGTGACACCAACTCTGCCAGTACCGCGGCGGGGTTGAGAAGCCTGATATGTCCGGCTGCCTGTTCCTTTCTGCTTCCTTGCTGTCGCCATTGCATCAGTTCATGCGGCAGAGCTAGTCGCGATGAAAAGTCCAGAATTCACCAATCCCCAAGCCGGATTTTCTAGAAATGCAGTGTTCACCGAAGAAAATCGCGTACGTGGTTGCACAGTGCGTGCGAGCCTTCGCGGGAAAATCCGAGATTGAATAGCCTGTTGTGTTTCCAATAGACCTGCCAGAGACGCCGGCATGCGGCGAGAGGAGTGACTCCTCGTTGATATTGAGTATATTGCATTCACGTAAAAGAGAAGCAAAAAAAGGGTCTCGACCAATAGCGCCAAGTTTCTAAGGTGTCATCGGGAATCAGGTGCCGAGCTTGGATGGACGGATCAGGCTAGGTACCTCGTAACCTGAGGTGACTTAATACTGTACAAGCACAGGTACAGAGTGCCCTGAGATGAGCACGAGTAGAACTGAACGTGGTATTCGGGCCTGCAGGACACGCATGCAGGAGATTTTTTTTCTTCTTGCTTTAGCCCCCCCTCTTTTTTCTATCATGCAATGTGGTAACATACCCTTGCAGGATGCTTCCATGGCATGAGCAGAATGTGCCTGAACACTAACCAGGTTGACCGTCTGCCAGGCTTTTGCCGAGTGGTTCGGGCTGGCTCGAAGGAAGATGTGGTCCAAGACCATCTTCGGCATTCATTGGTTGTCAAAAAATTTCAGCGTTGGCGGTCCGCCCATGCTAGCCCTAGGTAGCCCCAGAGTTCCCACCCACGTTGCGATGACAGTGAAGCACGAGCCTTTGTGGGGAGCTGAATTGATCGAGTGATGGCTTATCTGTTATCCATCAGTAACCGAGATTCTGAGTGTTGTCGAGGAGACGATACCAAGCGAGTTTCAGTGTGAATCCTCTAGGTTTTGTATGTCTTGTCAGAGTTCCGAGAGAGGAATGTCTTTCTGCTCACATTTTAGGATCGCGTGAACCGGTCGAGCCGATTCGACGGCGGTATCCAACGAATACCACATGGATGCAGGGACGACTTGGCTGTTGAATACGACCATGGCGCATCGCAGGAACTGTCTGGACACCAGATGGGAAGCCTGGTGACCCTCTATTCCCTATTAGTTGGCGAGTGACCTGGATCCGGGGTTGAGAGTTCCTGCATAAGCGCATGGGCCTGGACCCGCCCCAGGAACAGGTCCTACTGTAAAAGTACTCAAGTCCCCAGTACCCTGGACTAGTTCGAGAAGCAGGGGCCACGCCGCTCATTTTGGCGCTGATCCTGAAGATCGATTTCGGCTTTGCTCTGCACCCGAGGATCAATAGGTACGGAATATCATCTTCGGGATATGCCGACAGCTGGCAGTTGTTGTACGTGTATACTGGGTACATCAATCCTACGCACGTCAAGGCACAAGCGAGATCCAACTGGGATGGCAGGTTGCACAGGATGATGCCGTAGGTTCAGAGGGTGGAAAACAGCTGGCAGGGCGGGCAATCTCGTAAAGATTGGGCTCATTGGACGGGCGCACCTGACCTCCTTTCATGGGCTTTATTCAAGTCCTGCCTGCCAACGCATGAGGTGGTCGCCGTTCCGGTCTGGCGATCAAGTTGACACTTCATCATGATCTGCTCTGTTAGGCGCAGCAAGAACTGTGTACAAGTTGGAGCGCATCGAGTAGTGCGCATGGAGACTTGAGCATGATGAGCGGAGCGGGTCTATTTGACCAGCGCTCGCTGCCTTGTTGCCACCTGATTGTTGGCGAAAGAGTTCGTCCACTACATGGTAAGCAAGAAAACCCAACGCAGGTCCCAGCCTGGAAGGGGACTGGTGGCCTGCCGCTACTGCTGCTGAAGCCACCTAAGTACCTCATGGGGTGCCTAGGGCTCGCTTGACCATGCCTAAAATCTGCGCCCACCAGCCTAAGCCCAATTGTTCATCCACAAGTTGTCATCGCCTAGCCAGGCACTTGACCTGACTGGCCTAGCGAGCCAGTTTCCCGGTGGACCGCCGCCCACAGTCTACTGTGCGTCGCTGGCTGCTGAGGCCAAACCAGGCCAAACCCAATTCACCTTTTGTCCCTTCAATTCCATCCACCATCTCCCCGTCTCCCGTTCCCTCCCATCCTCTTTTCGCAACCCGTACCTCACCTCTACCTTCCCTCCTCCCTCGCACTGCGCTCTCACTCCCTCAAAGGGCCTCATCAGCCTTGTGGCTCCTGACTGAAGAAAGGTCTTTCATCGATCTTTCTTCCAGGTAGCCGTCCACTCCTTCATTTCAACAACTGCCAATTTCCCGCCCCTTCGGTCTGCCGATCTCCAATTTCAGTCCAACTGCGGCCTTTCAAACTGTGCTCCAGACTTTGTTTTTGAGGTAACCACCACTGCTAGCAAACAACTCGACGCAGCGCTTAGCTCCTGACTCCCTTCAGATACTTTTGTACAAGTCGTTCATTTACCGACACTCTATCGCCTCTTCAAGCCTGTAATGGTGGCAGTCTTTCCTTTGCAGCCAGGCCGCATACACAACCTCGCAGGTGCCGGGACGCCTTCGACCTTCTCTACCTTGCACCTTCCTGCTGGCCAGAACACCAATACTAGTATTGTCGGGTGGCTGCCCTGGTGAACTATGACTTCCATCTCCCTACCTGCTTCGGTATCAGTCTTGTCACCCTTCGATTCAACTCCCGGTTCTCCTCGATCGTCGCAAGCCCACAGACGACGACCTTCTCGAAACCCAAATGCTCTTCCTCCTCCTCTACCGATCTTCTCCTTCAATCCAGGTGCGGTTGAGGATGCTACAGAAATAGAAGGAATGGATTCGCCGACTCAACGAGCCAACAGCGTGACTGCTGAGGTCGCTCGTCGCTCTACTAGGCCTCCTCCGCTTCCCGACTTCAAGTTCAACCCAGGTGCCAGCCTGCCAAGCGAGAGAAGTCCAAGTCCGACTCATCCTGTTCTTCAAGAGATGGCTCTCAATCAGCAGCGTGCTGTTCGTTCTGCTAAACCTGCGCCTCTGCCTGCATTCACCTTTGCTCCAAACTCAGCTTCTTCACAAGCATCTCCCAGTCCAACGAAACCAATCTTCGCTGACGCCCAACAACCACCTCGAGGGGGTCATCGAAGAGGTGGAAGTGAATTTGTGGGCGGTGGTGGAACTGATGGGCCCCAGTTGGTCAACACGAGCCCTGAGAAGCCCGAGTATCGTCCGCACCCGCCGATATCTGGAGCAAGGGGGCATGCCCACCGTCGTTCCCAAGCTGTGTCAGTCTCCGACATTGATACATCTGAGTTGATCAAGGCGAATGCTATGGCGAAGGCGCGTGCTGGTTCGACACCAACCACTCCATCCGACGGCGCACAGGCATTTCCATTCTCTCGTGCTAGCCCGCTGACCCGGCAATCAATGTCAAGTGTTGCCAAGACCCCCCCTTCATCTCCTCGACGTAGGGGTAGTGTCCCTGGAGTCCGCCCTCGTGTGGGCTTTTCTGACCATGTCGACGTCATACCCAGACCGTTATCCATGATTTCCTCCGAGACTGAAGGTAGCAACTCAACTATTCGAGGAGGCCACTCTTTATCCGGCAGCATCAATTCAATCGCGAGTCCAATCCCGCGTCCAACGTTCGTTGTCAGCCCGTCACACGATTCCATGATTTCGCCAGAGAGACCACAAACAGCTGACGCACTTTCTACCCTGTCTCCCGGAATGGCGTCGGACAAGACGAAGACTTTGTCTGTGATCAATCTACCAAAACGCCCTCTATCCGCTTCGGGATCACCTGGAACTCTAAGCTCTTGCAGTCCTCCTAACAAGAAGAAATATTTCTGGTTTAACCATTCCGGCAGTAGCTCACCATCAACCACTCCCAAAGTTGAGCGAGAAGACCCGATGGATGTGTTTGTCTCTCCGACTTCCGCTCTGCAAGGCTCAGGGAATGGACTCAGACCCCGGACTTCATCAGGCGGGTCTATCACGAAGAAGCGGAAATATCATACCTGGACGTCTGGAATCTTCTCCAGGAAATCGGAAAAGCGATCTAGCAAGACCAAGCAACAACATCATCCAATACCACCACCTTTAACAAGAACTCCCAGTGATCGGCTAAATGAGATTTTCGATGCGGATGATACGATCGTGATTCGCAACCCCTCGCCTGTCGCAACCAGGGTTCGACCTGCAGAAAACAACCTTGCCTCATTGAAGCATTGGCCGTCGAGTCAATTCGAAGAACAAATCACCAGTCCGGCCATTGACCTGGACGCTGCTCTGGGCCCTTTCGGGAGCGAGGAGAAGTTCGGACAAGATGGTAATGCCAAACAACCTTCAAGGCTGGCAAAACTTCATAGCAGCGAACGGAGGGGCACAATGGATGCTTTCGGTACAATCCATAGGAGGACTGAGTCAGCGCCGATTATGCCCGCTGTCAATCGCAACATCTTCGGCTTACACCATTATGGGAGCAATGCTTCCCTCTCTGAAGATGTCTTCGACGAAGAGGAAGAAGACAATTTTCTGGCTGAAGAAAATGCAGCACAGATCACCCCTATCGATGGTCGTAGTCAGGCCGAATCTACAGTCTCCCTTCCTTCGGGCTCTCCCAACACGAAAGCTGCAGGTGGCCTTGGTCTGTTCATCCATGAGGACTCCGGCAATGGAGTCATTATTGTTGACTCGGAAGACGACATTGCTCGGGTGGATGCTCGGTCCTCCAACTCGACAATCGAGGCTCCGGTATTCCAGCATTTCGAATCTCGAAAGCGACCCATGTCTTCCCCAATGGCTTTCGCATATCCGGCACCTCAGTCACTTTACGCGTCCTCCACAGACGGACGCACAACCTCAGCTTCAATGATGTCCTCACCTGATGCTGATCATATCTCTTTCGAAGCGCTCTCGCGACCGTCTAGATTCCTAGGAGAACCAAGTCCTGACATGATTCTGCGGGCATCCAATGACGATCTACCGTCCTTAAGTGACAGCATTTCGAGCGGTGCCGTGCCACGATTCTCCAGCAGTGCGGGTACAAGATCTTCCGTCGAACA